AACGACCACCAGGAACCACTACAAGACAAACTTTAATCCCTTATTTGTCTTTCTAAACTTCCTTCTTTCTTCTATAATGGTCATTGCTTGTTATGTAGATCACCTCCCTGATGGTGATAGACTGAGCCCATGAGCAAGATAATTTCTTCGATATTCATTTCTGTGCTTTTGGAAAACATATATATACTGGTCACAAACTCAAAGAAAATTACACTCAGATTTTCACTCTTGAAGTGTGTCTGTTTGTCATTTCTTTCACCGACGCCCTGACCACCCTGCACGCTTCTCTCAACCCTGAGGTGGCCTCATCGTCTACTGCTGTGCTGGTCTGCGGCATGTAAACGTTCTGTTTGTTGCTCCTTAACTGGTCTCGTCCGTGCAAGGCTCCACTAGCTGAGGACTGTGCATGCGGCCTTGACAATGACCCACTGTCATTTCGGGCACGTCACAAGCAACCCCTCCTCTCTGTCCAGGCAGGCGTGGTCAGGACCCGGGCTGTGCATTCTGGCATGGGTTCCCTGAGTGCTTGAAACCCCAGACTCGGAGAGGGGATCCTTGGCATCTGGGACAGCTCTCGCAGCAGGAGACTGTTCGTGGCCAGGCCATCCCCTCATTCTGTCATGGTATGTGACACCTGCTTCCATGCAACTCATGCTGGAGGGCCAAGGTGCCAAGCCCCCAGAGCCTGCCACACCACTATGCTGTGCACTGGCCGAGGTGTGGAAACCACGATGTTCATCAGAACAATGTATCGTGACATGCAGTCCTTGGATAATGTCATTGTTCCTCGCGTGACAACAGTTCCTAAGCGTGACGACAGTTCCTATTAAACTTGGCGCAGCGAAAGGTCAAGAACAACTAACCACCGAACAGAACAAGAGCTACACACCGCGTGAAGATTCTGTACACTGCACTGCGTGAGCCTCATGTCCCAAATCACGGGGGACCGTGGGCACCTGCAACCTAAGGCGAGGGGAGACATTGGCGGCACACGCGAGCAGAGTGGACGATCTTCCCCATGTGGGTGGGCCACACCTGGCCAATCAAAGTCCTGAGGAGAACAAAGACTGACCTGCCCCAAGCGAGCAGGAACTTGAGCACAGAAGGCGGGTGGACTGGAGCTGCAGCAAGGGCTCTTCCCTGCATGTGTCAACAGAGCAGATGGAGAGAGGGAAGGAGCTGGGAGGAAGCATAGACGGAGGGAAGGATGGAAGGATGAGATGACAAATTGAACAGACACACAAATATGGATGTTAGGGAGACAGCTGGGTGGATGACAGATGAGACAGACTGATAAATTGAGGACCCATCAGTCCTGCCAGTGTAGAGATCCCCTTGACCCTACTCCCCAGGAGACTCCTACTTACACAGTGGCTCAGTCAGGCCTGGCTCCCCAGCCCATCCACACAGGTCCTACTGGTGAGGCTGTGGGAGCCCTGAGACCTGCACTGCAGAGCCTCACTAACAAAAGCAACAGTCAGCTCAGCCCGGGCCCCCGGGGTCAGCTCTTTAACACAGAGAGGCAACAGTCTGGCACACCGTCGGCCTTGGGCACCCTCACCACAGTCCCCTCTGAAAGAGAGGCACCAGATGAGCACCTGCGGTGGCTTGCTTTTTCCAGAAAGATCTGCCAAAAGGGAGTTGACCTTGCTAGGGCCCCACTTCTGTTCCTGATTATTCTGTGAAATCTCTGGACACTCTCCAGGCAGCGAGAACCACGTTCCGACTAAAAACATGAACTGTGAACGTGAACGACTGTGTCCCACTCCCCGCCGCACACATTCTCCCCTGTGCCCAACAGTGAGTGTCCGGCTTCGTGCTTCCTGCGCCTCGTGGACCCAGTACCAGTCCAGGCGCAGGTTTGGACGCAGCCTCTCCGGCGGGGTTCCGGTCACCGTGAGTGGGTTCACGGCCCAGCCACCTCACTTACTCCAGCCCTGCGTGGTGCCGGGGTTTGGGTTGTTTGTTGATGCACGTCAAACGACGGAAGCAAGGCGTGCACAGGGGAAGGGTCGGGCACTGCCAACGAGTAGACGCTGGTAAGGGGTGCGGTCTGATGTCGGGAGGAGGAAGTCCTGTCTCTACTCTCAGGGTGCAGAGCAAGTGGTCAGGCTTCTCAGGCAGCGTGAGGAGAGAGGGTTAAAGCACGGCGGTGGAGGCCAGGTCCACCGCCCCTGGTGGCCACAGGCTGGGGTCTTTGCCCTCCAGGGGCGCAGGGGTAAAAGAGAGAAAACGGCTGGGGCGGGAATGTTACAAGTGGGAGTTTCTTTTCAACTGTTTGCCAGAAGGTGGCAGCAAATGACACCCTATAAACCAAAGCATATCTGAGAAACCCCCAAAGTCAGATGGATTGTGAATCTGGGGGCTTAGGCCATGACAGGTGCTCGCGAGGCCCACACCTACGCTCCTCGTCCCCACGCCTCATCTTAAGCTGCTTCCACAGGTGGGGGGTGTCCTTCTCAGCTCAGCCGCGCAGCATAGGTCCATCCTGGCGGGACCAGGGGGCTGTCAGACTCCTGGGGAGCTGTGTGCTGACCAGAGAGCAGTGGGGGGGACATGTCAAGCCCATCGTGCAGGGACCCTAACCACCTCGGACTTGGGGGCCCGAGCAGCGCGGAGGGCCGCTGGGGGCGGGCGCTGGGGCTCCTCTCAGGGAGCGGTGCTCGCTGCCCCTGAGGTCCGGGAAGGCGGAGCAGCGGCAGGAAGGGCGCGGGGCAGGGTCTCCATGACCCGAGCAGAAGGCGTAAGGAGGGGTCCTGGAGCCCGCGGTGTGGCTTTCCAGGCTTTTATTGGGATTTTACCGGGTACACGGCGGGCAGGGGTGCCGGGTGGGGGGCGGCAGGCCCCAGCCCCGGCAAGTCCTCACTCCGTCCGGCGCTCGGGCGCTCCCTCGCGGCCTAGCGTCTCTGCCCCTCCGCTCTCTGGCGTCCCGTGACACCGCCCTCCTCGCACCGCAGGAGCCGCCGTCAGGCGCGCCCTGGACCGCAGCCCCATCCGCAGCCCTCACGGCGGGGGTGCAGAAAGGCCCGATACCTCTTCTTCACCCTACGGCGGCCCCCGCAGCCGGCCGGGGCGTGCGGACAGGGCGGCGACGGGCGGCGTGCAGGGAGGAAGGGCAGCAGCCCCGCGCCTCCCACCGGAGCCAGCGAGGGGAAAGCAGAGCTGAGCAGGGGCAGGGCGGTGGGCGGGCGACGGCGGTTTCCCTCAAACGAAAAGCCGGGACTTACCTCACGTCTGGCGGCGGCGGGAAGCAGCGACGCCTGGCCGCGCCCCAGGACGCGACACGCTGGACCCTGACGCAGGGCGTAGGGCGCAGGCACGCAAGGCGCAGGTGGAGGCACGCAGGCGCAGTCACGTAGGCGCAGACAGAGGCACGCAGGGCGCAGTCACGCAGGCGCAGTCAGAGGCACGCCGGGCGCAGGTGGAGGCACTCAGGCGCAGTCAGGCAGGCGCGGTCAGAGGCACGCAGGGCGCAGTCACGCAGGGCGCAGTCACGCAGGCGCAGTCAGAGGCAAGCAGGGCGCAGGCGCGCAGGGCGCAGGTGGAGGCACGCAGGCGCAGCACGCAGGCCACAGTCCCAGAGGCACGTAGGGCGTAGTCACACAGGTGCAGTCACGCAGGCCGCAGTCCCAGAGGCACGCAGGGCACAGTCACGCAGGCGCAGTCAGGCACGTAGGGCGCAGGCACACAGGGCGCTTGTGGAGGCACGCAGGCGCAGTCACGCAGGGCGCAGTCACAGGAGCGCAGGGCGCAGGCGCAGTCAGAGACACGCGGGCGCCGACGCTCCCTGAGGGCTGTGCCCCGAGGCGCCTCCCCGCCACCTTCCCGACTCCTGGGGCACCAGCTGCGCCCCCAGCCCGGAGCCAGGGGTCCGGCCGGCGCCAACGCCACCGTGCGCGTTGCCCAGGCCCCGGCCGAGAGCGCGGGCCCTGCTGTCCCCCTCGGCCGCCCGGAAGCTGCTCCGAACGCCTGCGCGGGGCCGGCCGGGCGGGAGGGGCGCCTCGGGCCGGTGAGCCGGAGCCGGAGAGCCCGCGCAGGCCGGCGAGGAACCGCGTCGCGGCCCGGCACACGCGCCTGCATCTCGGCTCCGGCCGCCGGGGCTGGCCGCGCCTGCGTCTGAAGCCCCAGGCCTGCCGGCCGGCCGGCCGAGACAGCGCGTCCATGCAGGCCGCGGGCACCCCTTCTGGCTAGGCGGCTTCTCGGGCGACAGCGAAGGCGGGTGCACCCAGGGGCCAACGAGACCGCACCCTCCTGTGCCCACGCGGCCCTTCCGCCCCCGGGACGGCTGCCCTCCCTGCCTGTGCACCGCTGCCCGCAGACTGGGCCTCGGAGAGCTGCAGCAGGTGCCACTCGATAGTCAAGTTACAGGCCACACTGAACTTGACATAAACCATCGCCTCAAGAGGAAATGCCCACTAAGCGGTCACCACACCCAGTCCCACCACCCCTCCTCCCGTCCACTGCTCTGCCTTCTGAACCCCAAGTTTGCCTTTCAGTGTGACCCTGTCCCTCCAGCTGGTAAAGGCCCTGAACTCGCCAGGAAAAGCACCACAAGTCACATCACATCACACTCCACGACCTGCTGGCAACACACAAGAGTCGCCGCCGCCACTGCCTTGACATTCTGACACCCCCAGACCTTGCTTTTGAGACATTCACATACTTGGAATAGAGCACGAGGGCAGTGACCCCGACCCCTAGGGGCTGCACCTGAGCTCCCATGCCTGCAGCTGTGGTCCACTCAGGCTTCACGTCTGTGCGACACACCTGGCCCCTGCTTCACCCCTGAATTTCCAATATGCTGCTCTGCAAATGCACATATACCCCAAATCTCTCCTGGAGGGCATGCCTGCACAACAGGCACCCCCCAGAGGGGCCTCCGGCACCACAGGGAGACCTCGGGGTGAGGCCGTGGACAGGACACGACAGACACAGCTGAGCAACAGCTGCAGGAGGTGGGCTGCGGAGAGGGGTGTCAAGGAATTTGGGAACAACGGAACGGAAGGTATAAACTTGTCAAAACGCAATGAAAGGTACACGCATAAAGGGTGCGTTTTATTTTCATAAGCGGAACCTGAGAGTTGATTCACTGGAACAAATGGTACAGAACAGACAAACAGCGTTTAGCGAGTGAATCGTGAACACCTTATTAAAAAGAAAACAGTCTCATGGATAAAGCTAAAGTTACCTTTGACCAGCCGTCCGATCCTGGCCTCTTCCCCACTTCTCCCAGCAGTACCGCCCCCCAGACACTCCCCACTGGGGGCGCCTGCAGGGTCTCCCGAACCTTTGGAAGCAGGTTACGCAGTACTGTTATCTTGCACGCAGACATTACACGGCCTTCTCCAGCTTTCTCTGGGCGCTTGCACACACCTCGGAGACCTGCCTATGTGCACCACACACTGCAGGATGGCTCCACAGGGGGTGCACGGCGTGGGGCTGCAGTCTGATCATTCTGACGAGGTGCATGTAAGCATGTCTACAGCTGAAGGGGCTATAATCAAAGAATTTTCTGATACACAAATTACCCTAAGATAACACACAACCGGCAGCAGGGAAAAACTACCTACTGACACGTGAGCACAGGTGTCCAGGACACATGGGGCCCTGGCTTGAGATGGACACGGAGTGAACTGCTGTGAGCAGGTCACAGACGCGCAGGCCCCCATGGCGACCACATGTGATGCCAGCGTCCCAGCGACGAGCCCAAACGTAGCTCCCAGGTGCTGCTTCACTTACACTTTCTGCTTTCTCCGCTTATGACTGTGGTGTCTTTCCCCATCCCTGAAATGAAAGGGGTGGGGAAAGCTATTAAATGATGCATCTTCTGGTACTAGAGCTTTCGGTAGCATTTCCCCAGTAACGCACTTTCATCCACATAAACCAGAACAATTTCAAACACACGTTTAGGAAGGAACAGTGATTTTTTTTTTGAGTAAATAAGGAAAACACGCCATTAAACCGAGGCACGGAACTGCGATGGGGAGAGCGGGACGGCGTCTGCGCTGCCCCGGAGCATGGCTGCCGTCACCCGGGTATGTGTTCGTGGCTGAGCGGCACATCTCAAACAGGCTGCTGACTCTGCAGCAGGAATTCAGAGGCTGATTTCTCATCCTGGCTCCTCTCCACTCCCGACAGCCACACACCTCAGGGCGAGGCCAGAGGTGCCTCCCCAGCAGCTGCCTCTGGCAGGAGAGCCATCTCGTCTGAGAGGCAGAGGCTGTCCACTGTACGTAAGTCGATCAAGACTGGCCAGAAGTGAATCAGCACAGTCCTGACCGACAACCGGCGCCAGCATGCATGACAACTAGGAGATGTGACGCTCAGCAGGCCCCAGGAGGGACACTGAGTGGTGGTCACACTCGTGGAAGACATGGATGGACAGACTGGCACTGATGGTCCCAGGAACCGACTGCCATGAGGTAAGCACCGAGACCACGAGGCCCAACTCGGCCATGGTGGCTGGAGACACCACTGGGTAACAGCCTGTCCCAGCCCAGCACGGTGCCCATGTGCGGAGGCAGAAGCTTAGCCGCAGGGAGCGGTGCAGCCGCAGCCGCACAGGGCATAGATGAGCAGTGAGAAGAGGGCAGACTCCCGGAGACAACCGGCTGGTCTTGAGCCCAAGGCGCTCACCAACCCAGCAGCGGGGCGGGTGGAAACCCACTATTAGGCCAGCCACGCTGGGCTGAGCAGGGAGCCCAGCTCACCCCCAACACCTGCCCTAGAGTAGCCGGTGCCCCGCAAGCAGATGAGGGCACGCAGGGAACGCAGAGTGCAGAGGAGGACAAGGTCCACCTGGCAGGGAGCTGGGGGAGGGACTCGAGATCCAGGGTGACCCAGCGGCTGGACAGGGACAACACTTAAGCGGCGCCGCATGTGGCTTTGGAAGCAGCTCGCCTCTCCCAGCTGCCAGACTTCCACTGGGACACTAACAAGGGCACAACCAACTGACGTGCAACTCCGGGTCATCTCTGACCTGACACACCCTTTAGCAAAGGAATTAGCAGGAAAAGAGGGAAGAACAAAGCAGCAGACGGGATCCAGGCCGGGGCCTCCACAGCACATCAAGTCCTCCCTGATGTGATGTCCCATGTGCCAGCGGGTGTTAAACACATAACAGCCCCGAGGCTGAGCAGGAGGAAGGAACACAGGTTTTAAGGGACGATGGAGGGAAAATAAAAGCAGTCTGGGTGGAAAGAAAGGCCCAGGCAATGACGCCGTGTCCGCGGCGCCATGACAGCGGTGGGAGATGCATTCAATGGGGCACACTGAGGGTCACGTCACTGGGGTTCCCGTCACCTCCACTCGCCCTGCACCCCTCTCCACATGGTGCTGAGGCCTGTCCGCCCCGTGGCGTGGCCAGCGCAGGCACCTACCTCTCCCTCCTCCTTCTCGAGTCCCGGGTTTTGTCCTTGTCCTTGTCCCTCTTGTGCTTGTGTGGGCTCCGGCTCCGGTTCCTCCTATGCCGGGAGCTCTCAGCGTCTGGGTAGCTCCCCGTGGACTGCCGTGAGTCCGCCGACGCCGACCGCCTGTCCTCACTCCTGAAACAAAGACCCAGCGGCTTGCTCGCCATGGCCCGGCCAGCCCTCCACCCTACGGGGGTGCTGCCCAGGAGAGCCCCAGAGACAGCCCCATCTCCCGTGTGCCCCCTCGCTGATCTCCATGCCCAGGTCAAGGGCAGCGTCAACACGCGCCGGCTCTGCCTTGTCACCCTGAACGGTGACAGCAGCAATGCGGCGGGTGGCCGCGGCGACGCCAGCAAGGGCAGGGATGGGCAGCACGCAGAACTCACTTCCCGGCCTCCTCCTCGGCACGGCCCTGCTCCTCCTGCCAGTGGCTGCTCAGCTCCTCCATGTGCACGCTGATCACATCCCGGATCACCTGCAGGGGCACAGCTGTCAGACCCAGAGGTGGCTACATGATGCCAGCGCCCATGGCACAAGGTGGCCAACGTCAGGCTGCAGACCGGGCAAGAGTGGGCAGCGCCAGCCTGGTGCCGACATCACAGCCGCCCTGAAGCTGACGGCCAACGGCCTGGGGGAGGCCACAGGCGAGGGGACAGGGCACAACACCCAACCATTAGGGGAAAACTGCGTGCAGACCAGCAGGGCTGTGCAGGGGGCTACGGTGTCGGGCACAGTGGCGGCCAGAGCCCCAGGGAAGGACAGGAGGGAGCGCCTCATACTATTTTCAGCTTTGCAACATATCTGTACGTTAGAGTTTTACAAACAGAATTTTAAAAGCCTTCACAAAAGTGAGGATGACAGACAAGGCACAAGACGGTGAGTTGACACGCAACACCCTGCAGTGGCCAGCGAACAGGTGCGAACGCGGCCCTCCTAACCAGGAGACGTTTTCTGAAGATGGGCTCGGCCAGGCAGTCCCGACCCCCCACCACAGCTCAGGCCTGTCCGTCTCTCCCAGCCTCCCAGAACTCCCAGCAGCTCCCTAAAGGAAAGAGAACAGCGCCCCAGGCCTTCCGCGATTCCACCTCGCCTGTCTCTGCGGCCAGTGCAGAGGCCCCGGCTCCAGCCACCCGGAGCCACTAATGGGTCTCTTCTGTCACCTCCTCAGGGACAGACAGCGCTTCCCCTCCTCCGCTCTCTGCTGCAGTGGGAAGCCCGAGGTGGGCCATGGTCTCACCCTAGGGATGGCGGGTCACACACCTGCCCCAGCCCTGCCAGAGCGGCTGACCACAGTGCTGGGCTCAGGACAGAACACGCCCCGGCAGGCCCTGCCCCTTCCCGCCCGGGGAGACTGACCTCTACGAAAGCCTGGCCCCCACACTCGCCCTGGCCGACATTAGCACGAAGCCATGTGTGTCTGGTGAGGTCGGCTTCGTGTTCGGCCAGACCTCGTGCCCGCACACCACTTTGGGGCACATGCAGTGACTACAGAGACCACAGCGCTGCGGACGGGCCCAGGAGCCTCAGTATTTGCAAGAACCACTAAGGTCCCCGCCCTAGAGAGACTGAGCCCGCACTTAGCCCTGACACGCGTGGCCTAAGATCGGGGCGTAGCCCAGCACTCGACTGAGTCACCCATCACCTCACAGAACAGCGGGTCTGAAAGGCGCAAGACCATGAGCATTTCAGGAAGAGCACCTTAGGACATGGTGAGAAACAACATGTGACCAGAGAGAGTGTAAAAGATAAAAACGGTCCTAGATAAAATCAGGCAGGATTGTAGAAGGTCTGAATCGCAGAGAAAACTAGCGTGGAGATAATTAGGGATTCAACTAGGAAATTACTTGGAGAGCCTGGACAAGTAATTCAGGTAGCAAGCGTTCATGTTCATCCCCAGCTCTACTCAGTAAAGACCAACTAAAAATGTCTGGACACACATCCAGGAGCTGAGACATACACAATTTATACCGGGACATTGCTGAGTCAAGACCCAAGCCTACCTCTGTCCAAAGCCAAATTTGAGGCTCCTGTCACGTCACAGTCGTGCTTCCTCAGAAGCAGAAACCTTTAAGGGCTATACACCCTCTTTCTGGAGGGATTCTGTGAGAAGCCTCTGTCTGAAGGGTGAAAGCTTGGCGCAAAAAGAATCAGGCGAGGAAAACTTAGAAGCGTCTCAGGAAACCGGCCACTGAGGGGATGCAGGCAGATATAGAAGCCATTGGGGCCCCGTGAGCCTCACCTCAGTGTACGACTTCTTGGTGATGTGCACGTTCTTGGCTCTGTAGGACTGGCGCCTTCTTTTATAATCTCTCACTTCCGCCAGGATCTCAAGGTAAGACTTTGGGCTTTTTCGACTGTTATCTAACAAAAAAATAAAATTATTCTATCTTTAGAAGCTTTTAAATTCTTATCATTAGCAGGAACAGAACATTCACCCGCATCTCAAACATGGTTACATGGGGCACACGAATATCCTGACACCCCAACACGACATAAAGGGAGAGGCAGCAGCTGCACCTGCCGTGAGGCATGCCAGGCAGAGGCAGCACAGCCAGAGGACCCACTTGGGGAGCCAGGGCACAGAGGCCGGGTGCTGGCTGCCAGCCACTGGGAACAGGAGGGGTGAACCCACGGCCACACAAACCTTGATTGACTTTGGCAGCCAGGTCCACGAAGAGGTCGCTGTCATTCTCGATGACCTGAGAGCCGGAGCGCTGTTTCTTGGTCTCCTCAATGACGAAGTCGTAGATGGCGAGGCGGTCGGCTTGCGTGAGGTCACAGACAGAGCGCTTGTGGTTCAGAGGGACTTCCACGGGCAGCGAAGAATACAGCCCTGAGGTCAAGATCAACCACAGCAGCACACATGACACACGGGACTCCCGCCGACTCCCGACACACGCTGATGCATATTGCCCAACCACCCTTGCCAGAGCACCCTGAGACCGCCCCCCCCCGCCCCCACCCGGTCAGCCTGTCCTGCAGGTTCTCTGCACGGGAAGGACAACCCTGCCCTGGAGACAGGCCCACTGAGGCCCAGGAACCACCACGAGAAAAGCTTCTGAATGAACCATTGTTACCGGGTCAGCCATATCAGCAAGGCAGAGACTTTCTGCTTCTATACCTTCCCCCAGAAAACAGGGGCAATGTTTTTTGGTGGGTAACACACAGGACGGTCCCTCTGAAAATTAATTTTGAAAATATGGAAGCGGCATAAAAGTCTTTTGAGTCATTCCTTCAGATGTTCCACATTCAAGACACCCCAAGGGAGCAAGGGCGGAGGGCCACCCACAATGCCGTGCGGCGGCAGACACCCTAAGACCACATCTCCAGACCGCGGGGACATCAGGTGGAGACTAGACTTGTTTAATGGTCCCAAGAGGGAGCACGTTGTCTTCCCCACGTTAACTGAGAGTCAACAGCAGTGCCCGCCCAGTAGCCACAGAAGTTTCTAAAATCTGCTCAGGAATGAATAAAGTAAATACAATACCTGATGTGCTGTATTAAACAGTGAAGACAATTTTTGTTTTGAGATGCAAATTTTCTCAAAAAAAATTATTGTAACTGTAAAAAAGGTCATTTAAGCAAGTCTTCCTAGACTTCACCATTCACTAGCACACGTGCAGACCATGGGCTACGGAGTCCTGGTTCTGAGGAGGGGCGGCGCCAGAGCTCTCGGCGCACGGGGCGATGTGGAATCCCTGGCTCTTCCCACTCACATGTGCCCACACCCAGCCCCACGGCTGCCTGGGGAAGGGCAGGAGACAGCCTCAGGGGAGGCCGCGCGCACCACAAAGAGGAGGTGGCTGGACCTGTGGAGCAGGCGAGGGGCCGAGGGGCCGCATGATGCTGGCAGAGGGCCGGGGCCCCAGGGCTGTGGGAGCCAGCCCCCGCGGCGCACCGGCCGGGGAAGGGAGGCTTCCTTCCGGCCGCCAGGGCTACTGCGGCGGTGACAGGCACCGCTGAGCTGTCGAGAGTTAGCGGTGCTGAGCCCAAGTCCTGGGAAAACAGGCTGTAAAAATCCAGGAGAAAAGAGCAGAAACACCGCCATGCTCACAAGCAAGCGCCACATAAACCCTGGCCTGTTATTTTTAAACCATGCAATGCATTTCCGCCGTACAATATTTTGTTCTCTTTGGTCGTAGAAAATTTCGGCATGGGGAAGACTGACAGTTACGTTCCTTGAAATACAATTGATCTTTCCCATCGAGACTGTAATATCATGACAAAGACGCTTCACAAATCTGAGTGGCACTTTAAAAGGATATCGTTTGCAAAAAGGATACTGTGTATCTTTAAATAAGGGACACATTCGGGTTCCTAATTCCTCATATACTCACCCCAATTACTGCAAAAGAGAAAGTACAGGAGAAAGTTAACAAACCACGTTGGAATCATGTGGAACACAGATTATTTCTGATGAAAAAAAAATGACACAAACACTTAAATGAACCTCCATTTCTGTGAAATGTACATTCTTCAATGCAAGTTTCTACCTGATCTGGAGGTGTATCTGGGGGGATGGTGATTACAGCAATTCTGCAGCAACTGCTACTTTTTGCAGTTTTTTTAAATTATGGTAAAAACACACTAATATCAAGTGAATCATCCCAGTCATCTCTGTAGACACTTCGGAGAAGCAGGCAACCCCCCTGCCATGTGGCACCCCGACATCCAGAACTCTCTCGTCCCTCCAGTCCAAATGACAGCCTGTTTTTCTAACAACTGTGCGGATTTTTTTTTTAATCTGTTTCTCAGTCACTTTTGCCTTCACAGGGCACCCTAATAAATGCACGACACGGAACATTAAGCCTACACGAGAGGCAAAAGACCAGGGCCCTTCTGTAGAAGCCAAGTGACCTGTCCAGAGCGTACAGATGGCAGGAAGAGATTGCCAGGACCACCGCAGCCTGTCTCTTCCAGGGCCTTCAGCACAGAGCACTGATCAAATGGTGGGCACGAGTCAAAGTCACTTCGTGAAATTGAAGTACGGCAACTTGGCACTTCGTTACCAGAGAAAAAGGCAAACCACCAAATACAAAATGAATATTCATAATTTAAATTAACTCTTGGTTATGAAGTCAGCCAAAGTAACTCCAGCAGCAGATAAGTAAATTCCATGGCTACTGCAGTATTCACAAAGCTCATGGATCGAGATTTCTACATGCCGAGCGTGGGCCTGACGTGACCGACAAAATGAACACACACGTGACCTCCCCAAACACGCCCGAGTCCGCGACTGCACGTCCCTTAAATGCGAAAACGCGACCACGCTCGTGCCAGTCATTCCTCCTTCAGGATTTCAAACGTCCTGGACACAGCAGGCCACAAAAGCAGCCTTCGCTGAGAAACCGCAGCACTCTGCACACGGCAGAGGACGTCAAAGAAAGGGTCACAGACCACACACGAATGGTTCGGAGTCAGCTGGTGATTCAGGACAGCGCAAACACTCACAATCACAAGAAAAGTTCCTCTTAGTGACCGACTGGCAGGAGTTACTCGTTCAAATTCTTTGCCTTTGTAAAGACTGAAGCTCGATGTCCACGTCTGCCCCGAAGCTCAGGTGTACGAGTAACACACACAGGCCTCTTCCTCAGTCACTGCGGGCGCCGGTCCTGCCCACCTCGTCGTCTCAGCGCTGCTCTCTCTACACTAAGCTGCTGTGACGCTGTAAGAGCAGCTGCTGACTGTGAGAGCTGGGGGTTGGGGGGGACCACCTGCAGCTCCTGCTGTGCCAGCCTCCCCAGCACAGTCTGTGCCCAGGATGAGGAACCGCTCCTCAGAAAGCTAGGATTCAACAAGGCCAAGCAGCTGGTTTCTTTCTTTGAAAAACGGGCTCAGGCAAGGCAGGTCAAACCCCAAGCAACAGCAGCAGCACAGCACCAAGTCTGAGCAGCATAGCAGCAGGTCTGAGGTCCATGATGTCACGTCACGTCACTGGGACGGGGGCAAATGACAGCACAGTCTCTAGGCCCTGACCTATGACAGGGTCAAAAAATTCAGAGTGTGGTTCTAGATCCAGTTTACCAGCACCTGGTGGAAACAGCCCACTTGTGTGTGCCTCCAGCCCATCCTGACACAGAAGGACAGACTCGTGCAACCCACCACATCTGTGGCGAAAGAGATGAACTACACCCAAGAGCTACAAATGGACCCAGAAAAATATGGGAGTGCCGTGGAGGGGCTCAGCACATGCACAGGGAGCTCTGTGCTCCAGCAGACAGGCGCTGCCCCCTTTCCTGTGGATGGCAGGCCCAGGGCAGACCTCCAGCCCCCTTTCAAGTCTGAAATGGGTGCGGCGGCTCCAACTAGCTCAGTCCAAATCAAGTCCTTCAATTCTCAGTTCTTCCAAAACTGAGAACCAAATCCTCTACTCCTGTCCGCCGCCAGTCACTGAAAGGAGCAGTTGGTTGAACAGTGATGGGGCCACTAAAAGGGGGAACTGACTCAGCTCAGTCATCTCCTCCCATGAGGTGGGAGCCAGAGGTCTCCCTGAAGACGACACCCTGCGAGTCGCAGGGCGCACAGAAGCGCGTCCGAGCAGAGACGACAGGAAACTGTCCCTGCCGTGGTAGGGCACAGGTCCCAGGGCGGAGGGCAGACCCGCTCCTGTGGCCACCCAGGGAGCAACCAGGCCCAGACATCCGCTGCTGACAGTGGGAGACCACCCCCAGCCTCGGCACAAGGGAGCAAATCATGGCAACGGGCTGGAGGACACGGCCCAGCGAGGAGGACAGGGCAGCAACACGCTGTCCTGAGAGACCCTCAGCGGGCGGAGATAACACAGACGCTCTCGCAGGAGCAGCCATGCCTGGGTGCCAGCGGCTAAGGAGCGTGTGAACATCTACGTCCTTGAGGTACAGAGTTCTATCGATTCTGCAAAAGCCTGCGCTTGAGCACTCTACCCCGGCCTCTGCCGAGGCCAGCCGGGCAGAAACGCATAAGCCAGCTCCAACTGTGCTGCAAGGGCCCCACCCTGAACCCAACTTCCCGGCTTCCTTCTGCCACGTCTCCCTTTTCTGGCCCTAGCCTTCCCCTGCACACTGCTCTTAAAAATTCTGACAGCTCACGCTGGCTATTTTCAAGAAAGAAAACCCAGAGTGGACAGTCTTGACTCAACAGATTCACCAAACAGCCATAATCTTAAAAATTATCCACCAGGCAACCCCACCTATCAGGTGACCCCCAGCACGAGCCCTGGGCGTGACAGCGTCCTAGGGGCACTGGTGGTGGCGTGAGAACCCCCACCATCGACGCTGACGCCAGCACACCAGTCTAAGGAACTTTGGGTCCGTCTGCACAGATTCTTCTTGAAAATTAGTGGTGTTGTGTGCAGACGAAAATAACTCTGAACACGTCAGTGTAAGCTACAGTGCCACTTACTCTGGTTGTAGGAGTCACCATCTTTGCCAAGCGCAGCTCTGGCTTGTTTGATGATCTGGAACTGTGAGTCCTTATCTGTGCAAAGGAAAGACACCCCCTAAACACACGACCGTGCTTCCGACGCCAGCTCCTGCCACACCGATCAGCCTGCCCGTGCCCCTGCTCACGCAACCTGGGCAGAGTCCCCCAACCCGGCCAGCGCCCAGGCGCAAGCAGGCCTCCAGGCACTGGGAAGACACACTCCAGGCACGGGCAGGAGCCACAGCAGGTGTCAGCAATGGGTAACAGCTGGCGCTTTCTCAGTCCGACACGGGACCCCCACCATCTGACCCTCCCAAGGTACCTCTGTCATCCTCCTGCTTCCTGAGAGTTCAGCCAACACACAGGCTGATCACTCAGCTGCAGTCACACCTCTGATGGTGACAGAACCAGAAGTCCATCAGGGCGTTCGGGTTCCAGAACGCAAGCTTCCACCCTCAGAGAGCTACGAGCCAGAATGCAGCTCCCGTCTGCGCTCAGTTCCTGTCCAAACTGTGAGTGTCCATGTCCTGTTGCCACCACGGGGCCTCACTGCAGCTCGACCCAAGCTTGAGCACTCGCTTTCAGGCCGTGCAAATTGGTTTCAATCATTATTTAATGAAATCCTTAATTAACCTTTCTTAATCATAAACATGCTTACAAAGTCCAATCTTTTGATAAATCAAAAACACCAAATCAATACCTTACTGAGAGTTTTCAATTAAAACCTGTGAACTCAACACTTACTCAAAGTAATTGAAGGTACCTTCACATTCTCATAGAAAAAGTCAGGATTATACATTTTATCCTAAACAGAGGAGAGAAAAAACACGTTCTTGAGTATCAAATAAATTATTCTAAGGTTTGACAAAAATCAAACAAGATGGGTATCAACATTAGATTATCCAAAAAGAGTTCAAGTAACTTCTTGCAATAGTTTGCAAAATCAGGCAGCCCCACAGTGACTATGTTAGGTCAGAAACCCGCGGGCGCAGCATTGGAACAGGGGGGTGGACCACGGGCGGGGCAGCGCGGCAGCAAGCACCTGCTCCTCTCTGCTGTAGCCCAGCTTCCGCAGCCTGCAGGACGCCACGTGCTTGGCCAGGGACGCTCTTGGCATGTGGTGGCTGGGATCGTAGGGGCAGATGGCGACTTCATCCTGCAGAATCACACGGGAGCACAGAGAACAGTCGGACCTCGTAAAGCCCCGGGCGCCCACAGCCCGCCCCGCAGCTCCAGCCACGCGACTTTTGAGAGGCCCCACCTCTGCAGCCTCTGCCCTCTCCCCAGCCCTCAGAGCCCACCTGGAGCTGCCCGGAGAGTCAGAGCAACCCTCGGGCCCTTCCTGCCCATAGCCAGAGCACAGCCACCCTTCTCCCTTGTCACCCACCCACACCGAATCAGCCCTCGGGCCCCTATGCTACCAAAGAACGCTGGGAACCCCGCAGCCCCCCCACATCCCGCTTTGGGGTGTCATCGCCTGCCCTGCTCCCGGTGGCTGAGATCCATGCCCTCCCCCACCTGAGATGGCTCCAATACTTATTGACAGGTGAAGTGGTCAGCCACTTCACCTGTCTCTGCCTCAGTTTTACCGACAAGGCGAGGACACTAGCAGGGCCTCCCACGGCCACCGTGAAGCTCAGTCACAGCGAGCTTACAGAGACTCAGAGCCTGGACGTCGCAGCGTGCAGTAAATGCCAGCGGTTGTGACTTCACCAAGTGACAGGTGACAATGACACACTTGGCTTAACTGCTCCCCTGCCTTCCCGCTTCCTCCTTAAACACAAAGCCTAGCTTCTTTAACACACTGACAGGGACTCGCAGGCCCAGCCCCCCACCCCCTTCTCTGTGCCCAGCTTCTTTGGCCAGGGCCTCCTCTCTTGCTTCCACACCTGCTGTGGAGTGCCCTGTGCATCCCCTAATTAGCCCAGCACTTCTATCTAGAGGTCTCGGCTGTCCCATCACAGCCCGCAGCAGCCCAGCCACCCTTCAAGAACCTCATAACCTAGCGTCCGAGGCCCCTGGTTTCCCCCCTGCCCCCCCCCCGGTAAGCCCCAGGGGTAGGGGGCATGGCCAGAGGCTTTGGTGAACTTCAGCATGAGATGGCTTAGCAGGCCCATCACCGCCTGGACAGCGCCCGCTCCCGTGTCACCTGCAGGGCGGTCTGGAAAATCTCACTCTGACTCTACAAGCTAGACGGAGGCTCACAGCTCCAAGTCAGACACTTGGATTTTATGAACTTTTCAGGTGGCAGGTGCACCATTCAGCAGGGAGCCCAGGACCAGAATACCCGGGTGCGAAGCCCTACCGCTCCCCGGGTGCCTTCTTGGGCCTCCTCATGGGAACATGCACCGGCACCCCCTGCCCTGCAGAGCATGGAAAGCGGCAATGAGTCGGAGGCGGTGCGAGGACCCCCGCACTAACTGCAGGACCCAAATTCTGCAGCGCTGAGTCCAAGGCGGGAAAGGCTGGGGTGCCACTCAAGGGGGCCGCACCCGAGGGGCCCGCAAACGGGCGAAGGCCTTCACCCCCCCCGCAGCTGCCTGGCCTCGCGCGGGAACGGCTGGCACAGAAACCGGCGCTGCGCACGGGACGCCAACTCTCCGCACCAGACGCCAACTCTCCGTCCCCGCTCACCCCTGCTCCGTCCCCGCTCACCCCTGCTCCGTCCCGGCTCACGGCTCACCCCTCTCCGTCCCGGCTCACCCCTCTCCGTCCCGGCTCGCCCCTCTCCGTCCCCGCTCGCCCCTCTCCGTCCCGGCTCGCCCCTCTCCGTCCCCGCTCGCCCCTCTCCGTCCCGGCTCGCCCCTCTCCGTCCCGGCTCGCCCCTCTCCGTCCCCGCTCGCCCTCTCCGTCCCGGCTCGCCCCTCTCCGTCCCCGCTCGCCCCTCTCCGTCCCCGCTCGCCCCTCTCCGTCCCCGCTCGCCCCGCTCCGTCCCCGCTCACCCCTCTCCGTCCCCGCTCGCCCCGCTCCGTCCCCGCTCACCCCTCTCCGTCCCCGCTCGCCCCTCTCCGTCCCCGCTCACCCCTCTCCGTCCCCGCTCGCCCCTCTCCGTCCCGGCTCACCCCTCTCCGTCCCCGCTCACCCCGCTCCGTCCCGGCTCACCCCTGCTCCGGCTGGAGGCTCAGGGGTGGCGGCCCCGCCCGCCGCAGGCCCCGCCCCGCCGCCGGGCCCTCGAGCCCGCACCTCCGCCGCCTCCGCCTCCCCGAGGTCCAGCCGGTCCAGGCTCCAGCCCAGAGACGCCGTCACCTCCCCCAGCTTCCGGCAGCAGCTCTCCACGAACTCGCTCAGCTCCTCCTGCAGGCGCCGCCGCTCGCCCACCGGGGGAGGCTCGCCCGCCATGGCCTCGCCCGCCGCCGCGCGGAGGCGGAGGCGGAGGCGGAAGCGGAAGCCGCGAGCCGCCGGCGCGCGCGGGCCTCTGGGAACGGGGCGGACCTCCGCGCCGGGGCGGGCGGGGTGGCGGGCCCGCGTCACGTGACAGCCCGCCGGGGCGTTCCCGGAAGGGGCGGGAGCGGCCCTGCTGGGGCCGAGGCGCCGGGGCGTCGGGGCGGGGGGGCCCCCCGCGGGGATCCGGCGCCGCGGAAGCCGCGTGGGAACCCGGCCGCATCGGGCGCCCCGACGCCCCGCAGCCGACGCGGGGGCCGCCGACTCTGAGGACAGCGGCGTCCGCGCCCCCCGCGCCGCCGGGCTGTGGGAGCCGCGTCCTCGGGGCGGCGGCGCTTTGGCGGAGCTGTGGCCCCGCGGCGCAGGCCCCCCTCAGCCCCTTCCCCGGCCGCGGGCCGGTCGCCGCGCGGGCCTGACCCCCGAGAGTGGCCGCGAGCGGGCGTCACGCCCCCGGCCGCTCACAGCCCGGCGCTCCTTCGCCCTGTTTCTTGGGGGCGGAGGGGGGTTAACCCTTTGCACTCCGCTGCCCCCTGCCAGGGGACATCGGAATTCTAGCATATCACTCGGATGTCCCCTCTCAGGGGACATGGCAATTTATTCGTGATTACGGGGAATTGAGTCATTTCAACGCAACTTTTTGAGACATGCATGTTTCCCTGAAGTTTTATCGTGAAATGGCACAAGAAATTAAATCAAAATATCGTAAAATGGTTCGGAGTGCAAAGGGTTAATTATTCTTCTAGGATTTTTGATTCGTGATGGATGCCCCCTTGCCATCATAATTCTTGTGGATGCTCAGCCTGCCCCAAATCTGGAAACCACTTTAAACACTCGTCGCGGCCTCCCTGGGGGCCCAGGGGTAAAGTCTCAGCGCTCACACCTGAGGCCTAGCTCGATCCCCGGCCAGGGAGCTCCCACATGGCGTGGCAGACCTCTCCTGTCTCCCCGCTGCTCCCCTCAGCAGTGTCTTTCAGTCAGTCTGCCTGTTCTGCTGCCCACTGTCTCTGGTGAGTCCTCTTACCCCCTGCACCTCTGGCCTGTACCCCAGCTCACGTGTGCATAAAGAAAGAAATCTGAAAAAAGAAAGCCAAGTGCTGGAATAGCAAGAACACCTAGTGGTCCTGGTCTCCTGTATGTTTCCCTGAGGTGAATCACCAGGCAGAGCCCTACTGTTATAGGGCAGCCCCGATACAAAACGGGGTGCCTGACTGTGGGTCCTCACCCTCATGCTTAAAAGGACTTATCAATGCTCTACTGCAGGCGCACACAGAAGGTTAATAAAAGGTTTATTTACAAGGGAAAGGCAAATGAGGAAATGTACAGCTCAGGGAGAAAAGTGGGAGACAAAGTTTTAAATGCATCCTACCCGATCCGCTGATCCTGGAATCCCAAATGGCACTCTGGGAGCTGGCGCGAGCCGGGAGCTGTGAAGCCAGAAGGCGAGCAAGAGAGTGAGCCCCCCAAGACCCACGTGTTTGGTTTTTACACCAAACCTGGCTGCTTAACTCCACCCTCAGGTCCCTGCCACCTTCCCTTTGGTGGTGACGGGATTTGTCTTTCCCAATGTCCTGATGGCTTTGGTCTGGAGTGGGGGTGGAGTCCACAAAGCCTGCATGGAATTAGCTCAGGACATCCTTTCCCCCTAACACTACCCCAGTGGATAGTGTCCAGGCGGAGCACATGCTCGGTGATTGGGGTCAGGGGACACCATCAGAGCAGCAAGTGAAGATGGACATGAGCATGCCCTGGCCAGTATCCGGTCTGCTGTGGGTGCTGAGTGTGAAGACCAGTGAAATGCACAGTGGCCAACATGGGCCAATGCCTGTGTCTCCACTGGAATCAGGCTGACATTAGAAAACCACAGGGCCTCCTCATGGCCGGGGGTCAGGTTCAGGCTGTCACTGCTGTGGCCTGAGTCCCCGCAGGGAGCTGACCATAGGGCGCAGCAGACCTCTCCAGTCTCCCCGCTGCCCCCCTCAGCTGTGCATCTCAGTGGATCCGCCTGTTCTGCTCCCCCCTCTGTCTCTGGGGAGTCCTCTCACCCCCTGCACCTCTGACCTATACCCCAGCTCTTGTGTGCATCAATAAACCTGTAAAAAAGAACCACCCTGATTCTCTTTGACATTAGTCCTTGAGCATGTCTTTGGTTTGATGAACCCAAGTTTACTCTCTGCACCTACAACACCTGGAATTGGCCCTGTAGTTTCCCCAAATGGCTTTCATCCCCAGAATCTAATCCTTCTTACATTTTTTAATTTTTATTTCTGCCTAGCCAGACACCACGTTTTTGCTCTCCTTTCTACCTCATGAAGCAGCTGGAGGAGCTATAGCTATGAACAGCTGTTTCCAAATAGCACAGGTCCCTTTCTCTCCCCCCCCACCCCTCCCATGCACCTGGGTGAGGTGCACTTCCCTGAAACATGGAAGAGGCCAGCAGCTCCCAGCAGGTGAGTGGCAGTGAAGTTCGCGTTATTCGTGGTCTGCCCCCCTTCCCTCCCCACCACATCTGGCATCCTTACTTTTCATTTGCATCTACATGGTTACCTACACATCCTGGAGAGTGGAGACAATTTCTGGAATTGATCGTTGTCCTCAAAAATGTATATTCCTCTTTCCTGTGGTTGGGCCGCTTAAGTGAACCAAGTCGCACTAAGCCCAGGTCAAGCACATCTCTCCACGACAACATAAGCCTGGCAGTGTGGAGAGGTGAACTGCTTTACGTTGATGTTTCATCTTTTTAATCTGCATTTTAGTAGAGACATCTCCTGACCCCTTTTCTAGGTTAGGTTAGGCCTCTATTACGGAAGGGATTGTCACACACACACCCTCTTGGAACCTTAGCCCCCAGGTGTCTGATTGGAGATGAAGCCTTTAGGGTGGTAATTAAGGTTAAATGAGGCCCTAAGGGTGGGGCCCTGAGGAGACAGAACTGTGTCCTTGTATAAGTCGCAGTCCCCACCCTCATCAGAGACCACCCTGACATCTCCAGCCTCCAGAACCATAATGACATGTCTCAGCCGCCAGCTAGTCAGCCTCCCAGCTCGGACACAGCTCTCATTTCCCCAACGTGGCACTTACCGTATTTCCCCCCTCCCTTTTGTACTACTCAGGTATTTTTTTGTACCGTGTGTTTTACCATGGACCCCCCCCCCCCCACCTCTGGCACAACACAGGGCACACACAAAACTCAGTATTTGGTGAATGAAATTCATCACCAGGCCTCCAGATGGGGAGGGAGGCAACGGGAAGAAGAGGAAAGCTGAGACAAGGAGGCTGTTTTTTCCCTGGATACCAAAAGCCCCGACAGTCTCCGTGATAGTAACTGGGATCTTTCCTGTCCCGCGCAATCAGCAGACTGCCGTCCTCTGTACCTGTGCCACGAAGTCTGGCCATATTACCCTGCACTGCTGCTCTGTGAAGGTTTCCCTAATTGCTTCGTGTTCTGTCGCCATCCAGACTACAGAGCAGGGGCTTGTAAATTCTATGGAACCCTCACAGAACCTAGGTTCAATACCAGACACAGGTATTCGGTAAAGTCACATCGATTTAATAACAAGCGTCTGAATTCAAAAGTTTCTTGCTGATCCAGAGAACCAGTCTGGATCTCACTAACCTGCAACAGAGAGCCAAGAGCCCTCAGGGATCCCTCTCATGCATTCTAGGACAATTCTTTCCTCGCAGTGGACAAAATGAAATGAGGTATTTTGAGGCGAACCAAAATGGGTCTTGGCCACTCCCTGGTGTCCAGGTGGTATGATGGTGACACCTGCCCATCCCACTTAGTACTCGCAATCTAGAGTCAGCAGGGCCTCCCCCTGGGCCTGGCCTCTCTACACAGGTTTCAGCTTCCTTCCTGGGCCTCCGCCTGCTACACAGCAAGCCCCTGAAAACGTTTGAAAATGCTGACTTCCAAAGACTAAGTCTAACGAGAATTCAGAACTAAGAGTCCGTCGGCGGTCTTTCTTGATCGGTACCTAGAACCCAGTTGGCTTCAGACGTGTTTTACAACAGACAGAGGCCACTGCTGGATGCCCTTGCGTGCGTAAATGTTAAATCAAAATACGAACACCTCAAAAGTTTAAAAGTTTATTGCCAGAAGCGCAAACTTCATGAAGGCACCTTTTCAAAGTACATAGAAAATGACAAGCAAAATAAACAGAAAACTTTGACCGAAGAGAAGCAAAGATTGCTGTTATCGTGCATACAGTCAAATGAACACCAAACTATACGGGGGGGGGGGTCAGGGCACGCGGGTCGCACCAGTCACACACTGAGGAGACTTCTCCAGATGCCGGGGTGGGGGGGGTTCTTGGGAGGAGGGGTAGGGAGGGCTTGAGCAGGGTAATTTTCTAATACAGAAAGTGAATCGATGTAAATGAGAAATAGAATGATGACTACAATATCCGTGATCTACTTGATTTTTATTTCCAAGCGCAGAAATCTGTATCCACGGCAGAAATTCAAGAAGAACCTATCAAAAATCTAAATGCTGAGAAGAAACAAATTCTAAGCTCGATCTGTGCTATCCTTACAAGTGATTACCCCTCGCGCACACTACGTCCGGCGCGCCCCCTTAGGGAGGGCCGGCGGGCAAGGGGAAAAGCCAGAACGGCCGGACTATTGGGTTTCAACCCTGGCGGCCTTTTCCTAAGCAGAGAAACTTCTACCGCTACTTCCCGCAAGCACCAGGCTTTTTTTTTTTTTTAATTTAATAAAGTGGAAATTCATATAGATGAGGCCACGGTGGAGGCACCATTTCCGACCGCGTGCGACTAGTGCCCGATGGAGCTGCTGCTGAAGGAGTAGGAGTAGGAGTAGGAGGAATTCCCCGTGGCGTCGAAGCTTCCTCTCCGGGACCCGCTGCGGGAGCCGGAGCGGGAGCCGGAGCGGGAGCCCGAGCGGGAGCCGGAGCGGGAGCCGGGGGCAGAGGACATGTTGTAGGGGCTGGGTAGGCCCTTGGACGAGACTGAGGCGGCCTCCAGCAGGCGCAGCCCCGTGACATCTTCTACCATGGAGCGGCTCATGGCGTCCTTGTAGGAGATCTTCAGCTTGGTCTTCGGGCAGGTCAGGATCTTGGCGTAGCTGCTGGTGTCTTGCAGCCTTTGTGCCGCCCTGCCGTCGATGAAGCCCTTCCTGATGGCCTCCTCCGTGCTTATCCTCCCGTGCACCTCCGGGTCCACCAGGCCCCCGGTCAGGTACTGGAACTCCAGGAAGCGCTGGCCGGCCTCGTAGGGGAGCCACTTCTCCTTCACGGCCTCGGCGGCCGACATCTTCTTCTTCCCCTTCACCCCTTCGAAGCCGACGAAGGCCTTCTGAGCCGGCTTCAGCCTGGTGGCCATGTCTTGGTCGATCAGGCCCTGGGAGACGGCGTCCTGCAGGGACAGCTTCTGGCCGGTTGTGGGGTGGATGATGCCGCCGGTGCAGGCCTGGGCCTCCAGCAGCCTCTGGCCCGTGATGCTGTCGACGATGCCCCGCTCGATGCCTTCTGCCACGGAGATCTTCTCCAGGTTTTCCGTGTCAAAGATGGCCGCTATGGGGCCAGATTCTTCCAGCGGGTCAGACAGGGAGCTGCTCCTGATGGTCAAATTCCGGACGCTGGACACGGTGGAGATCTTACTCACCGACGACTCCTGCCGGCAGCTGCTGAAGACGTCGTCGCTGGTGCCACAGCCCAGGCCCCCGCCGTTGCCGACGCCGTTCTTCAGGGAGATCATGTCGGCGAACTGGGTGAGGCTGAGGCTGCCAGATCGGTACTGGTCAAAGAACTTGCGGTCCACCAGGCCCTTGTCCACGGCGTCCTGGATGTCGTACTGGCTGCCCGTCTTCCGGTCCACCAGGACCACCCTGGTGGAGCCGTCAGAGCCGGTGATGGTGATCTCCTCCCACTCACATTCCTGCTCACACAGTTCTCGGAAGGTCTCGTAGTCAATGAGGCCCTTCTTGTAGGCCTCCTGGACGGACATCTCCTTGTTGGTCTCAGGGTCGACGATGACCACCCGGCGCTTCCTCAGGGTGTTCTTCTGTGAGGTCTGCACCTGCCGCTTCTTCTCCTTCAGCGGCAGGAGGCACAGCCCCGTCTCCTCATCCTTGATGCACCTCTCCTTGAGCTGCAGGTAGGTAAGGTTCTCCTCCGTGTTGGGGTCGAAGAAGCCCTTAGTGTCGTCGCTGGGGTCCGAGAGGATCTCGCTGAGCTCCTCATTGAAGTAGCCGCGCTTGTAGGCCATGTCCACGGGCAGGCGGTGGCTCTCCTTAGGGTCGATGATGCCACCGGTGGCGATCTGCGCCTCCAACAGGCGGATGCCGTGGCCCTTCTCAATGAGCTCCTTGTTCATGGCCTGGAACAGGGAGATGATGCCGCCTGTCTCGGGGTCGTTGTAGCCGGTGACAGCGCGCTCGGCCGACAGCAGCTTCTCCTTGAACTCGATGCCCACTAGGCCCCGCTTGTAGGCCTCCTCCACCGGCAGCCGCAGGTTGCTGACGGGGTCCACGATGAAGCCCGTGGCCGCCTGGGCCTCCAGCAGCTCAAGCGCAGTGCCTGGCCGGACCAGGCCGATCTTCATGGCCTCGTAGATACCCAGCTTCTGCTTGGTGGTCTCGTTGTAGATGCCTGCGATGCAGCTGGAGCCCTGCAGGAAGTCCTTGATCCTCTCGCCCACCTCGTCGTAGGAGATCTGCCCCGACTCCAGCTCGCTGACCGTGGAGGGCCGCAGGATGCCGGAGTCGACCAGCTCAGACACGGTCACGGGCTGCCGGATGCCCTGGAAAGACATGCTCCTCTTCTGCACGGACAGCAGCAGCAGGCCGGTGTGGGGCTCAACCCTGCAGCGCTCCCTCAGCTGCGAGTAGCCCACTTTCTTCTTGGTGATGGGGTCCAAGAAGTTCTTCTGACTGTCCCGGGGGTCGTTCAGGCAGCGGTATAGGTCACGGTCGATCAGCCCCCGGGCCAGGGCCACATCCTTGGGCAGGAAGACGCTGTTCACGGGGTCTACCACGCCGCCGGATGCAATCTGGGCCTCCAGCAAGCGCATCCCGGTCTCCCGGTCCACCAGGTTCTTCTTAATGGCTTCAGACAGGGACACCGTCTTGCCCGAGAAGGGGTCATTGAAACCGGTGACGGCCTTCTCAGCCATGTAGATGTGCTCCCGGTCATCGAAGTCGATGAGGTCCCGGGCGATGGCGCTGTCCACGGTCAGCTTCTCGTTCCTGTGGGGGTCGATGACACCCCCTGTGGCCGCCTGTGCCTCCAGCAGCATGACGGTGGACTCCGGGGTGATGAGTTTCTTCCTCTTGGCCTCCACCAAGGAGTACTTGTCCTTAGGCGAGGCGGAGGCCCCAGCGATGGCACCAGCACCCCGGAGGAAGGGCTGGAGCTCAGCGGCCACCTCCTCCACCGACTTCTTCCCCTTCAGCAGCTTGTCCAGCGTGGCCTTGTCGATGAGCTGGCACTCGTACAGCTGCATGGCCGTGACCTTCTTCCTGAGCCCGTCGAACACCAGCGTGGAGGAGTCCACCGTCCACTCGTACTCGGTCTGCGTCTCGCGGTGGGAGCCGTAGGGACGCTGCCGCAGCTTGTCGATCTCCCTCTGCAGCCGGCAGCGCTCGGTCTCCAGCTGCGACTGGGTCTCCCGGGACGAGTCCTCCAGCTTCCGCCGGCAGCGCTCCTCGATCCTCTTGATCTCGGCCTGCAGCCTCTCGATCTCGCTGCGCAGGCTGTTCTTCTCCCGCTCGCTCTTCTCCCGCTCCGACTCAATCTTGCGGATGGCCTCCTCCTTGCGGGAGTACTGGGTCTTCCACTGGTTCAGGTCATTCTGGATCTGCTCCTTCTCGCACTCCAGGCGCTGCTTCAGCCGGCCCTCCGCCTCTAGCGTGGCCTTGGCGCGGGTCAGCTCGTCCTCCAGCCTCTGCAGCCGGTTCTTGTCCTGCTCCAGCACCTTGATCTTCATCAGCAGGCTCTCCCGCTCCTGCACCACCTGGGTGCACTGGCTCTTTGACTCTTGGATCCTGTTGGACGCCTGCAGTGAGGAAGGAAAAGAGAAACAGGGGCAAATCACGTTAGCCTCCCAGGAGCCGACCGGCACAATTCAACCTCTTTCCCTGCGTTTAAAAACACAAGCGTTTACGCATTCCCCTCCTCTGTCCTCCGTGGATGTACTGTTTTGTTATCTTGCAATTTCATTATCTCGCAAATTCGTGAACAAAATTCCGTAAATACATGTCACCGGTTTGATAACCGGCTTCGTACTTACTATGGCTTTGCATGGGAGTTGTTAACGGTAATTGCGGTTCGAAAAAACGGGGGGAGTTTTGTCCCAGCTGCCCCGCTACAGCTGCCCACACTAGCAAGTTCAACAAAGCAATGTCAGCCTACGGACAGACACTCCCCACCCCCGGCCCCACACAAATATTGTCTATAGAAATCAAACGTCTTAGGAGACCGAGAAGTGGTGTTAAAATCAGGGGTTAGAAGAAGGAAAGCCAAACAGCAGACCCTTGATTGGAGGAGACGGGGTGGCATGCGGGGGAGCGGCATGCAGGTGTGGGGGCGCGAGGCAGCAGGCGGAAAGCGGATTAAAGGGTGCAGGGGAAGCGCCTCCACCGGCTTCCATTTAGGAATTTAGTGACAACTGCAGGCCCCAGCTCGCCCAGCAAGACCCATCTTTTAGCAGACAGAAGCCATGCCTGCTGCGTGCGGTGCCCGCAAAGCCGGGAGCGGAAGCTCAAGCTGCTCCCCAGGGGCCAGGGCGCGGGGGCCAGCGGGGAGGGGGCACGTGGCTTCCGGTCAGCACCCGTCCAGACGCACCCAGCACAGAGGGGGTGAGGCAGGGGAGGATCATGGGACAGTGAGCTGGGATCAAATATTTGTGAATACCTCTAAAGCCTGCTTTTGGAATTTCTCAATTTCCTGTCTCAAATTTTCCCTCTCTCTCTGTAAATCATTAATCAGCCCCTGCAGCTCCAGCGTGCGGGCGTTGCTGGTCTGCAGCTGGCCACGCAGCTCGGCGATGGTGGCGTCCTTGCCGCTGTCGGCCTCGCTGCGGCCGCGCCGGACCTCGTCGTACTCCAGCCGCAGGTTGCGCAGCTCCTCCTCCAGCATCAGGTGCTCCTTGGTCAGGTTCTCCGTGAGCGACTGCAGCCTCTCGATCTCGATCTTGCTCTCATTCAGGCTGCGGCTCTTGTCCTCGATGGCCTTCTGGAAGTGCTCGTTGCGTGCGTGCGCCTGCCGGACGCTCTCCTGCTCCTGCGCCAGCTGCCGCCGCAGCGCCTCCAGCTCCGCGGAGAGCCGGCGCAGCTCCTCCTGCGTCCTCTGCTTGTCGCGCAGGTGGCCGTCCAGCTCATCCCTCTGCTGCCTCAGGTCGTCCTCGCTCCTCTTCTTGACGATGGACGCCTGCTCCAGCTGCTGCGTCAGGCTGCTGACCTTGGAGGCCTGCTCCTTCAGGGAGCGCCGCAGGCCCTCCAGTTCCTCGTCCAGCTTCCTCCTCTTGGACGAGTCCTCGGAGGCCGTCCTCCGGAGCCGGGACAGCTCCTCCTCTGCCCGCTGCTTCTGTGCCTGCAGGTCCTTCAGGGAGCTCTGGAAGCGTGTGATGTCCTGGTCCCGCAGGGCCCTCTCCTGGGAGACCCGCTCGTAGTCCCCCCGCAGGCGCGTGAGCTCCTGCTCCTGCACCCGCAGCTTGCTGATAGTCTCTGTGGCGCTGCTGTTGGCCTTCTGCAGCTCGCACTGGGCCCGCTGCAGCTTGGCGTTCTCGTCCTCCAGGCACCGGCGCCCACTGGCCTCCGCCTCTATCAGCTGCTTGAGCCGCTCAATCTCCTTGTTTTTGTCCTGGATGGTCCTGGCGGCCTCATCTAGTGACTGCTTGTACCGGGCGCCCTCCTCCGAGCGCATCTGTGAGACCTGCCTGAGCTCCAGCTCCAGCTGCTGCTTGCGCTGCGATAGCTCCGAGCCGCAGGCCTTCTGCTGCTGCGCGTCCCCCTCTACCCGCCGGAGGTTCTCCGTGGTCTGGGCCAGCGTGCTCTTGAGCCGCTGCACCTCCTCCGTCAGGCAGCGGTTCTCCCTGGTGAGGGCGTCCACCTGGGCCCGGTAGCCGCTGGTGTCCTGCTCCTTCTGCATGGTGAGTTGGTGGATGGTGGTCTTGGTGATGTTGATCTCGGTCTCGAACTGGTTCTTTAAGCTAATGATCTCCTCATCGTAACTGGTCCTTACCTTAGCCAGTTCATTCTCATACTCCCAGCGGCGCTTGGCCTCCTCCTGAAACTCGACTTTCAGTCTCTCGATCTCCTTGTTCTTGTCCTGGATGGTCCTGGCGGCCTCCTCCAGGGACTGCTTGTGTCGGGCGTTGTCCTCCGAGCGCTGCTGGGTGAGCTGCTTCAGCTCCAGCTCCAGCTGCTGCTTGCGCTGCGACAGCTCCGAGCCGCAGGCCTTCTGCTGCAGGGCCTGCTCCTCAGCCCGCCGGCGCTGCTCTGAGGTCTGCAGGATGCTGTCATTGAGCCGCACGATCTCATCCTTGAGGTCGCGGTTCTCCCTCGAGAGCCGGTCCAGCTGGCCCCGGAGGTTTTTGGAGTCGTCCTCCTTCTGCATGGATATCTCCTTGATGGTGGTCTTCGTAATGTTAATCTCTGTTTCATATTTGTTCCTTAAATTACTCATCTCCTCATTATAGTGGTTTCTTACCTTTGCCAGCTCATTCTCATACTCTCGCTTCCGCGCGCCCTCCTCCTGCAGCAGAACCCTCAACCTCTCTATCTCGTACTCCTTCTCCTTGATGGCCTTCTCCGACTCGATCTTCTGCCAGCCGAGGCTCTCCTTCTCGCACTGCCGCGCCTTCTGCAGCTGGTCGTAGTCGCTCTTCTGCTGATCGAACCTGTCCTCCACCACCTTCCGCCGCCTCTTCTCGTCCTCAATCTCGTAGGTCAGCCGGGTGATCTTCTCATTCAGATCCTTGATCTGGCCGTAGCACTTGTCCAGGTTCTGCTTGGCGGACTTCCCGTCCAGCTCGGCCTGCCGCTTCAGCTCCTCCAGGCTCACGAGCTTGGCCTTGAACTGGGAGCACTCCGCCTGGTACTTCTGCAGGTTCTGGTCCAGGAACTTGTTCTTGTTGCAGTTTTCAGAGTTGGCGTCACGGGCCAGCCTGAGCTCCTCCTCCAGCACTTCGATCTTGGTGTTCTTCAGCTGCAGAAGCAAAAGCAGAAACCACGGTGAGAGAAAAATCTCCCCTCCTCGGGCCAGGGACACGCCAGAACATGTGTGTGTGCACGCAGTGTGCAGACACCACACCGAGGCACACGCAGCGGGGCGTGAGGCAGAAACTAGCAAAGAGTCCAGAGGCAGCATCCTTGGCATAAACCTTCCCTCAGCTGCCTGAGGCTCAGCATGGGGCCTCAGTGAAAGGCCTCACCTCGGCCTTTCAGCCTCCTCATTGGTAAAGGGGCTGATTTCTTCCCAGGCCAGAGCTTCTGATTTCAGAAATTATGTTTCTTTCAAGGTTTCCATATAAACTCAATTCAACAATTAGAAATGAGGAGTAAACTAAAGAATCACTTAATGTGAAAAATTCAAATCCAGCTAGCCTGGAGTGTTTTATCCTCAGTTTAACACAAAGAAAGGAAGCAAATTCCTTGACCAGGTATTAAATGAGTCAGCTGGCTCTGCTGAGCCGAGGCAGTGTCCCCAGGCCTGCTCTGTTTTCCCTTTGGACGCTCCCAGGACATAAAGTACCTTCAGATCTTCCAGACTCTTCAGCATCTCACTTAAGAATCTGTAGTAATCTCCAGACCTCGTGAGGAGTTCGATGTAGCGGGCATGGATATCTCCAGCCTTGGGGAGGAGGGAGAGAGAGACACACATTCAGAACAAATGCCGTGGAGCCAACCGTGGTGTTTTGTGCAACGATGGGATGTGGGCGTTCCACTATAAATAGCAATGCTCAATCACGGGTGCTGACTCAAAACCTGGAAGTACAAGAAAACCCACAGCAAAGATCCCAAATTCCATCCTCCCCTTCCCGGGGTTTCCCCAAACCATCCGACAGGTGAGGGTACTGACTTTTGGGGGGTGGGGGCCGTCTTTTGAAAAGTAACTAGGTATTTCCTACTTTTTAAAAGTCTCCCTACATTACACTGGAGAGGCAAGCCCAATTCTGCAAAGACCCTAATAGTTAACAAAAGAGTCAGGTCTTTTCCTAAAATGCATCCTCTACGTGGGAGGAGCAGAACCTGCAGAAAAGCCTTTTGAGGGGCTTTCCTAGAACAAAGGCTGGCTCCAGGCCCAGGGAGGGACAGCGGGGTTTTGGGGGGAGAGGAGGAAGGCATAAAGAGTGGCCTGAGAGCGGGGGGACAGAGTCACCTCTTGCAGGATCACCCCCGAGGGGGACTGGACCATGGTCCTCTTGATGGGAATGTTCAGCAGCGTCTCCAGGCCTGAGGTGTAGGACGCCAGCTGTAGCTCGTAGTCCTGCGGGAAGTCAGCGTTAAGAAAACACCCTTCATGGGCTTGAAAGGCTCGCATCACAAGCCGTGTGTCCTGCAGCCATCCCAAGGGGCCAGGGCTGCAGGTGTCCATGGCAGCTAAGGCCACGTCAGTAGACAGGGCACGTCCTCTGGGCCGGGCAGCTCGGCGCGCCAAGCCAGCCCACAGGCCATGAGCCATGCACGTGGGTGACAAGCTCCCCCGCGTGCCCGGGAGGACATGGAAGCCATCACCACTGCCCTCAGGGGCACCACCTTTACAGAGGACCAAGCAGCAGCCGGGTCAGTGGCCCCACAGAGCGCCCCGCCCGTCCCGCACCTTGATGGAGTTCCCGCAGAGCTCCGCGATCTTCTGCACCTCCTCCGACTTGTCGCGCTTGCCGCAGATCTCGTTGTGCAGGTTCTGCACGGGAAGCAAGACCGCGCAGACGTTAGCGGCCGCGAACTCTGAGGTGACCGCGCTGTGTGTCCCTCAGCAGGGCTGGACCTCACAGCAGGGCCGCGCCTCCCCCTCAGAGAGGAGAGATGGTCTCCCGGGTCTGCAGGAGACCTCCTGGCTGGAGCAGTTTCCAGTTTAGGAAGCTACTCTGCCCCCTTCCCTCCCTGCCCCCTCTCCTCCTTCAGAAACGCCTTTCTTTGTAGATGTCTCAATGGCTTTTCCTCTGGACAGTCAACAGCCAGCCCTGCAGAGCTGGGTGCTGCTCTGGGGTGGGGGGCTGGGGCACAGTCATCGGGGCAGCAGGTGGGGGGTCCCAGGGTGGGGCGCACCTTCTGCTCATTCAGGAAGCGCATGACGGTGTTGGAGTCGCTGAACTTCATGGACTCCAGCGAGTCCTGGCGGCGCTTGGCGTCGCACAGCCACTTGCAGAAGGCCTGGTAGTTGTCCCGGTAGTTCCTCAGCTGCTTGATCTGCTTCTCCAGGTCCCACAGCCTGCAGAGGGAGACGCTCAGCCACGGATGCGCTGCCCGTTGCTGTGGGGCTCACACGGGTGCCCCTAGCGCAGCCCCAGAGGCCCCAGTGCTCTGCGCTGTTCCCACCAAGACCACATGCGCGGAACCCGGACGCCCGTGACGCGGGAGGCACCCCACATTGGGGGGGCCCCCCAACACCATCCCAGAACAGATATGCAGACCCCAGGGCAACACCCAACACAGGCCAACAGCAGGGGCCAAGCGGGGCACAGCCCGAGGACCCCTAACAGCAGCGCCCAGAATGGGCATCTGCGGGGATGGGGAGCAGACAGGGGGTGCTGGGGTGGGGCAGGGGAGGTAACGGGAGAGGCAGTTGGTGACTTCTGTTAAAATCTGTTAAAATCAGTCCGTGCTGGACCCCGCCCAGGCTTATCACCTTTTTGCTGCTTCAGCTTCTCCCACAAGTGGGACCCTGAATCCACCCCTGGGAGTTCCCAGGTCAGCACAACGGGGTCATCCACGTGGGGGACCCTCCCGCTCCGGAGGAAGGTGGCTTGACCTGAAATAAGCTTTTCTCCTGCTGACTACCCGCCTGCCCTCTCCCGCCCTCCAGCACCATCTGCCATGAGGGCCTGCAGCCTGGCTGGGCCACCAGTTCCTGAGCCCGTGCCTGCCCTGTGGCTGTGCTGTGGGCTCATTACAGAGCCGTGAGGATGTGCTGATCGTAGGCTGCGGTGATGACCCATGACCCTGACCACAGTAAGGACCAGGGGCTGTGCACTACCCTGCCGTCCGCCCCAGGGGCACCAGCTCGGGCTGCTCCCTGAGAGCGAGGCCTGAAGGCCCAAGCAGCGTGTGGAGCCTGGGGCAGGAGCCTGTGGCGATAGCGACCCACATCCCACCCGGGCCCTGGCTGTGAACAGAACTGGGGCTGGGTGGCCACACTGTCCCCTGTTGGGTGGCCAGGGCATCGTCTGGCACGTGAACACCACCAGTGAAGATTCTTTTAAAAAGCCCAGCCAAAGGGCCTCCCCGATGGCACAGGAATTAAGTCTCAGCACTGTGAAGCTGTCCACAGCCTCTGCAGCACAAGTTCGATCCCCGGGCAGGGAGCTACCCACATGGCACAGCAGACCTCTCCTGTCTCGCCCGCTGCTCCCCTCAGCAGTGTATTTCAGTCAGTCTGCCTGTTCTGCTCCTCACTCTGTCTCTGGTGAATCCTCTCATTCCCTGCACCGCTGGCCTGCACCCCAGCTCTTGTATGCATAAATACATAAAATAATCTTTAAAAAGAAAATTAAAAAAAAAATAAAAGGCCCAGCTGGTTCAGTCAGTGACAAACAAGATTTCCAGGGTATCTTAAACCCTCATTTGCTGTTAAGCGTTTCTTCCACGTAAGATTTAATCTTCATAATTTTGGAGAACGCTCACTCAAGGCATCTATGTGGGAGTTCAGAGGGCACGGGGCGCCTGATCGACAGCGGCTCTTCCTGAGACCCGGGGGCCTGGCTCGGCTGGCCCGGGCTGTGCTGGCGCCGCTGCTTGCAGGCATCCAGGTGAAGAGCACCTGTGCCACCCACATACACAGCAGAGCCTCCGTCTCCCGGGGGCCACTCCTGGGCACTCTGGGAGCCACCGCAGGGGCGGCGCGGGGGGCGGTGCGGGGGGTGGGGGTGGGGTTGCACCTGTAGTCGATCTGCTTGTCGATCCTCTGCCAGCGGTCAGTCAGCAGCGTGACCTTCTCGCTGAACTTGCCCAGGTCCAAGTCATACAGCGGGTACTGCTGTGAGGCCTGGGAGTGCACCTGCTGGGCCTTCTGCAGTTCTGCCTTCATGGTGGCCAGGAGCGACTTCTTCAGGTTCAAGTCATTTTTTATTTTCTGGCACGAGAGAAAGAAAAGGGCACCCATGACACTCTCCTCCCGCTTGACCCAAGTCCCTGAGTGAAGAAATGCTGACATCACTCTTCAGAGCCAAGCCGCGGAGCCAGCCCCAGTGCCCGGGCCAGGTGACTGCACGCCGGCTCCGAGGTACATGACTCAGCCACTGAAGGATGAGCTGTTGCCTTCTGGGACATGGGTGGGACGGGGGCTGCTGGGAGAGACGCAAGGCAGAAACCGAGGCAGGTGCTGGTTTCACTGCCTGTGGGACGTAAGTCACCAGGGAAGACAAACTGGCCAAGGCTCTGTGAAAACTGGTGAGGCCCGGGGGACGGAGTGAGTACCCACACCGCAGCTCTGGGCAGGGTGAGTGAAGTGTGCGCCCCTGTGCGGGGGTGACACTGCATCCCCGAAATTTTAGTGTAAACAAATAGCAGATCAGTACAATTTGGGTGGGGGGATGACACGTGAACGTGAGCCCCGTCTGCAGCACACCCACATCTTTAACTGATCTTCAGCCTGGGAAGCTACATGCAGGGACTGAACCCCCAGCACTCGCACCAGGCACGGAGCTTCTCGTGACACCATAAGAAATGATGCAACATGTCAGTGAGCTTGAGGCGTGCCCACAGCTCGCTCCGTCCACCCCCGATGACCATGACACTGTGATGTGTCAACATGGTTGCGGTCCCGAGAAGCCAGAGAGTAAAGAGAGCAGCTTAACTGTTCCCCCGCCCCCCCCCCCCCGCCCCGAGCCTTCCTCACGCGGCCCCCAACGGCTCTGGGAAAGGGTGACAGCAGCGGTCAGAGCAGCGGTCAGAGCAGTGGTCAGCCCGCGGGCGGGAGGCGCCACCCAGTAGGAGCACGCAGCGTGGCCCACCTTCAGCCCGCAGCGGTACGCCTCCACCTTGTCCAGGTCCAGGCACACCGTCTCCTCCTCAGTCAGCCTGGCCTCGTACACCTTCAGCATGTCCTCCGTCTGCAGGATGGCCTGGAGCAGCGCCCTCATTGTGCACAAGCTGTCCGGGGAGCAGAGGGCAGCCGTGAGCAGGGCCCGGGCAGTCACTGCCCCCTCCGGCGCAGGACACCCTCCGCCCTGACCAAGGGAACCGGGCCTGCGCATCAGCAGTTGACCACGAGCGGGCTGGGGGGGCTGGGTCGCGGGATGGCCTGACACCTGTGTCTCTCCAGAAGGACCTTCCCTAGGAGGATGCTGCAGCATCCAGTGAGAGGGGGGCGCAGGCTCCGCGAGCTGAGCAGTGACCCCGACCACAGGACCCAGGGGAGAGGCGCCGACGGGGCCCAGGCTACCTGTTCAAGTAGCCGTCAGTGACACCATTGATGTTCTCCAGTTTCTGGAACAGCCCGAAGACCTCATTCTGCAGGTAGCAGTACTTCTCGGAGCCCCGGAAGTTAGCGAGCATGTCCTTCAGCTGATTGAGGACTTCGGCCATGGCCTGGGAGTCGTTCTGCACGCTCTGCGGGGAGGAGGACAGGCCTGACCGCCTGCTCGGTGCCCAGGGGGCGTACCCGAAGTCAGGGGCTCAGAGAGGCTGGGAGGGGCCCAGAGGCTTCCTCTCGGGGAGGCTCTCCTGGCTAAGTCTGGCCCTCTTTCCAGAACATTCTGATGCAGCGCCGGGTGCAGTTGAGCGGAGAGCCAGTTCCCCGAGCGGTCGCTCCAGCTCTACAGACTCAGCGCCCACCCCAAGAACCCTTCTCCCTGCTGGCCCCCGGCTCCCAAGCGGAAGCCAAGCTCGGGTTTATGAAAATTTCCGAAGCAACAGAACCTTGCGCTGCGGCCAGAAAGCTGTGGGGCCGGTCCAGGCACCCACAAGCTGGCAGTGGGGGCAGCCAGGCCTATTGGGTACCTGCTCCGGCTCTGCTCCACCCCCCCAAGGCCAGCGCCCCCTGCCCGGGAGGGCCCAGACAGCAGGCCTGGCCACTGGGAGGAGAGCCGCTTGGACACAGGGCGTGGAGGCCCACCTTGAGCTCGTTGATCTTCACAGTGATGTGGTGGGAGGAGCTCTGGTCGGCCAGCAGGGTGCTCCGGAGGGCCATTCTGCCCTCGCAGTGCTCCATCTGCCTGCGGATCTTCTGCAGCTCGATCAGCATGCACGCCTCCTGCTTGTCGCACTCCCGGTTGGCCTCCAGGACTTCGTTGGGGCAGGTGCCGAGGTGGGTGATTTCCGTGGTGGTGACTGGAAAGGACATCACAGGACAACATCAGCAGGCCCCTGGCCAGCAGGACGCCAGCCTCCAGGCATCCTCGCCATGTGAGAGGGTGGTCAGCACCCCCAATTTGGATCTGACAACGGAGCGCATAGGTGACCTCCAACAGGTCACGTGCCAAAGCAATAACTCTGGAGCGAGTTTTAGGCAAACTCAATTCTTTTTAAAGCAGCGGGTCTGGGTGGTACAGAGAGCGAGATCTCAAGGACCAGGGCTGAGAGGGGCGGGAGAGCAGCACCGTGGCGCTGTTGGAGGGGACATGACGGGGCGGCCCCAGGGAAAGCCACCGCAGCGGACTGGCAAAACCCAGAAATGGACACACGGCAGCTCTCCAGAGAGCCCGAAGCCAGCGTTCCATAGCTGTGTGCTTTGCAGCTTCGCTGCAGTGCCACCCGCACTGGCCAGGACGTGCGGACAGCCAGCGCTGCAGGCCAGGGCTTGGTCAGGAAGACGGCCATCCACATGGGGACACGCGCGGCCATAAGGAAAGGAGAAATTCCATTCCTGGCAAAACGGAGGGAGCTTGAGGGAAGGTCGTGTGCCCCAGGGGGTCAGAAAGACAGGGGTGGGCAGTGGCCATTCTTCCGTGAGGGAAAGGGCAGAAGCCCGAGGATGAGCTGATGAAGCTAAATAGCACTCGACAGGCTCTGCGCCCCGGCCCAGGCTGTGAGGAGGTGGGGACCGGACGGGCCATCTCCGCGGGCGCAGCGCCCACCTGTGTGGTGCTGCGGGTGGCCGGGCAGCTGGATGACCAGGGTCTGGTAGTGCTTCTGCGCGTCGGTGAACTGGGCCTGCATGCGGCGCTTCTCGTCGTCCCCAAACATCTCGGAGCCCTGGCTGTTGCGGATGAATTCCTGGTAGTGCAGCTCCAGGTCCGAGATGGTCTTCATGTAGTCCTCCTGCCGCATGGTCTTCAGCTGCAGGGAGAGTGGGGGTCAGTCTCACCTCGCACCAGGACCTGGGCCATACCCCGAGGCCATGAGACAGTCTCCAGGGTCTCACGCCCCCAAGACCAGAGCCCTTTTTAATGAGAATTTGCTCTTTGAGAGGAATAGGACTCAAGGGCCCTGAGGGGCCTGGGCGTACCTTGGCAATGGTCATGGCCCTGATCTTCTCGATGTCGATCATGCAGTAGTGCCAGGATACCAGGCTCTTCATATTGATGTACAGCTGGTTCCACAGTGCCAAGATGGCCTCGTAGTACTGCTCGATCCTGGCGGCACAAAGGGCACAACGCTGGAGGGGGCTCGTGCCCTTCGCCTCCGCTCCAAGGCCCCACCATACGGCGCCACCACAGGGAACACCACGACGGGGGCTGACACAGCGACGGCCTCGGCCCAGCCTTCCAAACACCCACACGTCGGGATCTGAACTCGTTCGCTCCCCAAGAGAACATGCTCAAAGGTGCACGTTAGTAGGCCCGCGTATTTTGGTCCAAATACACAGAACAACTTTTTGTTCTCATGTTGTCTGTCAGTAACTCTTTAAGGGATACAGGTGTGCTGGTGCGGGATGGCAGGGAGAGGCATGTCCCTGAGCACTGCGGCTGCGAACCCGAGACGCAGCAGCAGGGCTCGCTGTACCCCATCTCCGGCTATGTGGGCTGCAGACCTCCATGACTCAGGATTAGCAGTGTCTGTCCTGCACAAACCACAGAACAAATGCTCCGACTGCCAGTGAGCAGATGCTGACCTGAAGGGCATCTGATCTCCCAGGAAATCAGCAAAATGACTGACTTTTTAACAGGGCAAGAATTTGGGAAAAAACACCTTGAAGGGCATGACAAGAATTATTTCCTCCTGCCGCCCTACACGTCAGACACCCCTTTCAAGGCTCCAATGCTAACTACGGTGTTGAAACTGAGGTTAAACTGCCCTCAGACCGTGGGGCACAGAAACAAAACTTTCCTCAGAGGCTTGCTCCACAACACAGCAGAGCCTGGACGCTCACGGCAGGTGGCACCGCCTGGACGGGCGCAGAGGTGACTGCCCCTGAGCTGAGCCCCAGTCAGCTGAAGCTGAGGCACACCCCACACAGAGTTCAGGGCTGAGGAGCAACCAGAGAGGAGGTGACACCCACAGAAATTCAAAACCCCAGTTACTGGAGAAAAGCCCCCGACACATCTCTGAGGAGGGACTGTCCTGTAACTAGCCGGTGAATTCTTTGTCCTCGGCCAAACAAGCTCACTCCTTTGTTCGTAACTCGGGAGGCCCGCTGGAGTTTTCCTCCCGCCTCCTTGCCAACTGATGTGTACCTTGTCACGGTGTCACCTCTATGCACATCGGGCATCCAGCCCACGCCCAGTGACCACGTCCTCAACATAAGGACGAAGGACACACGAGGGAGCTTCACGAGGCCCCTGTCCAGGGGCACATGGCGTCACGAAGAGCCAAGCGTCTGGGCCTCTGGGATACGCGCGGTCCCTACTCCTCCCACCCTGCTCCCGTCTGGGCCACCAGGAACTTCAACTTACTTGCAGGACAGGTCCACGGCCAGGGGGTTTGGAGGCGGGATGATGAGGCCCACGGAGGGGACAAGCATGTCCACGCCTCCAGGGCCCGTGACGTACCACTTGCTGCGCTCATTGTTGTCCTTCAGGATGCACTCGTCCCCTTTGTGCACGATTTTCTGGAAGGCAAGCAGGGGGTAGGGCTGGAGCCACGGGTGCACGCTTTCACCTCTGTCTTTTCCTCAAATAAAGCCTATCGTGACACACCCACAACAGTGGTGCTTTCGAGGACACGTGCATGCGAAGGCATACGGGACGTGAATGAGGGGAAGCGGCTCTCCACAGGCCGCCTGGGGAATCCGACGGGGAGGCGAGGAGCCCTTTTCAACTCGCCATACGGTGATTCCATTTCTGTGAGCTCACGGCTTACATATTAGAGCCGGGGCTTGAGTCATCTGTCTCATTCTTGTGCTCAGAACATTAAAATGTAAAAGTCAAAACAAAAGAAGTTCTGGTATCAGAGCCCTGGGAAAAAGGCCTGTTTGTAAATGAACTCCAGGGTCTCCAAATATGACGGCCGTGTGGCTCGTGAAACCTTGCAGGCCGACCCCCACGTATCTGAGTCTCCGAGCTGACTTACATCTCCCCCCAACCCCCATGTGGATTCTGAAAGCAGGTCCACAGGCAGAATGAAGTCCCTGCCTCCTGTTTATCTGACCAGCTAACCACATTTGTATTTCTGAAATCCCCGTGATTTTTACAGGAAGACAGAGTTGAGGGAGTGACATCAATAAATACTGAAAGTGGCTCATAGCTGCACGTAAATGCTCGTATTCACCGCAGAGCCCGCCGGGGCAATAGCTCGGCGTGTGAAATGTGCCGCAGAAAGACATTTCTCACTTCTTTTATGCAGCCAGCAGAGGGTCACGGACAATGGGACACGTATGAGAAGCCCAGTTTTTCAGAAAACTTGTCCTGAATACTGACAAGGCTCCGCCTCTGCCCGCCACCCGCGGGCACGAGAGAGACACTCGCTGGAGGTCCTGAAGGCGAGAAGGACACCGCCCTCGTGGCCAACGAGCCGGGAAGCGACTGGGACACACCTGGTCTTGCTTGTAGTCACACAGCGCGCGGAGGATGATGGGCTTGCTGCTCCGGTAGTCGGGGTTCCGGGGCTTCAGCTGCACGATCTTCTTGGACTTGTTCACCAAGTTGTGCACCTGACGCTTGTACTCAAGGATCTTCTCGCGTTCTTTCTGCGTGTGCACAGAGAACACTCACACTGTAACGCGCGCCCTGCACATTACAGGACGAGCTTGGAATGGCCTCCAGGTGGTTACTGTGACCTTGCAAAGGAGACAGCCCCCTGGGATAGCATCTCTCTGCAGGGAGTTGGGGGGGGGCGCTTTTCTGAATAAGCCTCTCCAGAAGCCCCTGGAGGAGGTGGGCAGGGAAGGGAATCCCCGTAGGTGCTTCCAAGAGACTTTCATAAGTAACGAGTCATCTCTCTGCTTTTGTCCTGGACCACAGTAATTACAGAAGCACTAAAAGAGGAAGGGTGGGGGGTGCGGGGGCTGGCAGCTGGGGCTGAGGTGTGACTCCCGTGGCGGGGGGCGGGGGGTGCTCCTTCAAGGGGGAGGGGGTCCGCACCTCCAGTTCCTTGATCTGCTCCAGCAGGCGCTGCAAGGGCATGTTCTTGTCACAGGGGAACTTCTTCCTGATGGAGTCCTGCAGCCCCTTCAGGTAGGCCTCAGTCGACTGGGCCTCTTCAAAGAACTGTGTGAACAGAGCGACCCACGTCAGCACCGCCCCAGCACGTAGGTGGTTTCCTCACACGCTTCTGGCTAAGCACCATCACCCCAGAATCTATCTGACAGGCAGCTAAAGGAGAGGTTGGAGTGGAGGGTCTCGGCTCACGTCAGCAGGAGACGCAGGAGGGGCCAGTGACCGGTGACCCACCCACGCACCTCTGAACTAAGACCCGTGAGCAATGTCGATGCAGCCCGAGCATCAGTGTCTGGATGTCGCATCGGGCAGTAAGCACCAGGTTTTGAGGATGGTTTTCCACTGCTTTCAGGAGATAAGGTATTTTTAAAAAATATTTATTTATGCACACAAGAGCTGGGGTGCAGACCAGAAGTGCAGGGGGTGAGAGGACTCCCCAGAGACAGAGTGGGGAGCAAAACAGGCAGATCCACTGAAATCCACTGCTAAGGGGAACAGCAGGGAGACAGGAGAGGTCTGCGCGCCATGTGGGTAGCTCCCTGGCTGGGGATCGGGCTTAGGCTATAGAGGTGACAGCGCTGAGACTTAACACCTAGGCCACCAGGGAGACCCTGAGATACAGTATCAAGACCTAAAGTAGCAGCAGGTCACTGGGTACCTGAAAGTAGGCAGCGTTCTCCTTAAGATGGACATCAATGCACTTGGTGATCTGAAGGATCCAGCTCCACTGGGTCTGCAGCGTGTCCATGTAAGCCTGCAGCAGAAGACACCAGCTGCTCAGCCCCGCGCAGCCGCAGGGCACCCACCCCCAGAGACACGGGACCCCTGTCGCCACTTGAAACCTATTTTTTCTGATTCCAAAACAAGCACACTTTCTCTAAACCCTGAGAACAGAGTTTTCCAACAAGGAATTCTTGGTGTGGTAAAAATTAAAGTTGAAAGCTAATTTTCACAAACAGATGCCACTGGGAGTATTGCTTAAAACAGTCATCATTTAAATGGCAAAGCGACTGGCCCCCGTAACAGACCCCATGGACGGCGCATGGAGCTGCGTCTTTCCCCACACCAGCCCTGCTCCTGGGAGGTGCTTGAGGGGAGCTTGGAGATGCCCACACTAGGGCTGGAGGGGCTTAAGGTGATGACTCCCACCAAACGGTGTGGAGACAGTTCCAGTTTTCAACAGGCAACATGGCCCTACCAGTGCCACTGCCAACGTCAGCCTTGAGGGCAGTCGTAGCCAGAGGACAGCGAACCATAGCCCCAGGGCCCCACATCTGGCCCCCTGCCTGCACATATAAATAAAGTTTTATTGAAACAGCACCACATCATTTGCTGACATGTTGCCTGTGGTGGCTTCTACGCCATCAAGGCAGTCAGGTAACCTCAACAGCACCCACATCCCTGTGAGTCAAAGCATTGCACGTTATCCTTTCCAGAAGGAGCTCACTGCCTAGCCCAGGGTGCTGATCCCAAAGCATGGAGTGAACTTGTCAGCGTTTCATGAGGGACAAGACTCAGGCACGGGCAGGGTATCGCCTTATGAACAGCCCCCCCTTGCCCTAAGAAAACCCCGAGTCTCACGGTGCCTACCTCGATTTTGTCGGAGGCCGGGTGCTGGTTCAGAACCAGCTGGTCACTCTCTTGCTTCAGCTTGTTGAGCTCCTTCTCCTTCACTTCCAGCTGGCTCATGCGGATCTGCCGGGGGAGAGGCGCCCCGACTCAGTGCCGGCCCCAGCCCCAGCCCCACTCCAAGGAGACGCCGTGTGCAAATGAAGCACGCAGAGGACCGGGGTGTGTTTTGCTTGGGAATCGGAGTTTTTAAAACTCTGGGACTATCTGGCCAATGTGTGATCATCAGAGGGGAGGAGGGTGGGGATGGCAAATAGGGCCTACGGGACACTGGTGGGGAGGCTGGTTTTGGACTCTGTGATGCACTGAGCGTGATTCGCACACGGGAGGATTCTCAACCGTCAACACCTGGCACTAAGATGCTGTCATAATGCAATGTGACTGCGACTTAAAAAAAAAACCTTCTGAAAAAGGATCGTAGCATTTTCCATGGTCCTGCATGCGGCTGAGGCAGACTGGCTGGCCCAGGGCCATCCGCAGACACAGGGAGCAGGGACGGGCCCCAGCCTGGCCTCCCCCGGCCCAGCCCTCCCGGCCCTCACCGAGAAGGCCTCCTGCTTCTGCGCGATGTTGGTGTTCTTGTCGCTCCAGTCGTATAGCAGCTCCTCCTCCTCGCAGTCATTGATCCACATGATCTCGCGGGACGTGGCCTGGATGATGTTCTGCAGCTGCCGCAGGTGGTCCATGCGCTCGAAGGACGCTTTCTGCAGGAGGGGCGGGGGCGAGTCAGGGCTCGGCCTGCCCCTACCCCGCAGGCTGCCTGCCCCAGCTGAGCACCCCAGCTGACCCGCGGAGCCGGCCACCCCAGCTGACAGCCCCAGCCGGGCGCCCAAGCCGGCCACCCCAGCTGACCACCTGAGCTGGAGGGCCCAGCTGAGGGCCCGGCCAGACCCACAGCCAGGAGGACGTGTTTTACTTCAAGTTGCCTGTTTCTCTGCTGCTTGAACTTCTACGGCCAGGGCGGCCGTTTGAGTCAACAGAAAAGCCTCGTCCAGAAGGGTCCTGATTCAGACACTTGTGTTTGGGCTCGGGCATTAGTTTTACACGATAAAGGGGGAAATGGATACTCAAAAAAGATAAATTAGCTTGTTCTGCCCTCCGCTGCACCCCCAAATTCAAGGTGCTGCCCATCACACTCGACTCCAGTTGGAGCACTGCCAGGTCAGCTACATTCGCCAAAGTATCACTGCCCGTGAGGTTGGGGTGACAGACAAAAGCACGGAAATGCCCCTCCGTGGGAGTCAGGAGACACTTTGTCACCCCAAAGTTGTGGCACCAGGGACTGCTGAAGGGAAGCCGGCCTGTAGCCACCTGCACCCCACAGAGCCTGCGGCCACCGCCAGGCCCCAAGCTGCCCCTGGGCGGCCGGGCTGCTCCAGAACGAGTCATCTAGAATTCACTTCTGGCACTTGTCTTGTTTCTGTGCCATGTGGGAGTGAAATGAATGAAGGATATTTTAAAAAGACGTTCAGATGATAAAAGCAAAGTACTTGCTTTGTATGATTTGTCTTTCGACTGAACACTTTTTTTGAGAGGTGAAAGAGCTGATAATTGTCGCAAAGCCACTAAAACACCCCATCATTCCACCACGGGGGCACCGGGGAAGACTGTTCTATTGCAGGGGCCCGAGATGTCCTTTCTATTGCCCTTACAGCCCAGTCCTTTGGCCCAGCCGCTGATCAATGAAAATATTAAATTAACTTCAGAGATTAGTGGGCGGAAAGGGGGAGGGAGTTGAGGGCTGGGGGGCCGGCTGTGCGGTACAAGCCAGGTGGGCCTGCGCTGGCAGCCGGGTGGGGATGCCAGACATGACTTACCACCCGCGCACCCTCTGGGGAGCCAGTAGAGTCATGCCATAAGCGTTATTTAAAAATGGAAGAATTTAGAAGTTACTAAAACTCCACTTCTAGAGGAAAGCCAGCAGCAGCCAGGATCACACATTCCCCTGCCGGCTGTGGCCTCGGGGTTCGTGGGGCCACCAGCAGTGGGGACCTGACCCCCGGGGACCAGACCCAGGGTCCGGGAGGCCCGTGTGCTCACCAGCAGGTTCTCGTACTCCTCCTCCAGCTGGTAGATGGCCGACTTCTCCCGCTGGAAGGCAAAGGCAGGCGGTGAGCTCCCTGCATGGTCAGGAGGGAGACACGCTCCTCGGCCCCCGGGTCAGGCCTGTTGCAAGCCTCCAGGGAGAAGCATCCACTCCAGGCACGCTACACCCTTCCCCAGCAGGCTCGCGGGGTCCGCCCACAGGCAGAGGCGGCCGCTGTCGCCGTCACACGCCCAATACAGCACTGCGCCGCTCCACACCCAGATCTCGGCCCCCCAGTCTCGGAGAAATGAGGACAGGTGCACAGGGGCACAAGTCAGGCCAGAAAGTGCCAGGAGGCTCTGCCCTGTGTCAGAGCAGCCTCGGGGTCTGGCGCAGAGCCGGTCAGGTGCCAGGCGAGGGCCAGTGTTCCCTCCTGACCAGGCCGGGGCCAGGCCTCTTGGCAAAGGTGTCAGGAGAGACCGTCCCTGCGTGGAACCCTCAGCAGGAAGCAGCGGGCTCACCGGGCACAAACCCCGAGGCCGCGTCCCTTATCCCGGGAGCTGAGAGCCGGGTGACCTCGTGTCACGGGGACCCTGCGCACAGCGGGCTTACCCGCTGTCCCCCGACCTCGCCGAAGCGTGGGCGCAGCATCCAGCGCCCCGCCCCTGCCACCTCCCTGTTCACGCAGTGGGACTCCTGAGTCTCCCGCCTTGAGGGTGAGCTGCGGGGGCTGAGGGGCAGTACCAGGTCGGCCTTGATCTTGTCCAGCTGCCAGCGGTAGTCCCCAATGGTGTTGTGGAGGCTCCTGTGGCTGTTGATGTGCTGCTCCACGGACGCCAGGTCCACTCCCCAGGCCACCATGTCCATCTCCGCCTGCAGGGAGAGGGGCTCATTCCCAGCCTGCGCCACAACCCAGCACAGCACCACACTGGGCGGACAGCCAGGCACAGGGCCCGGCAGGCGACAGGCTATTCCGCAGTGGTCAGGGACCCAAAGAAACGTCTGAAGGGCTTGGGACTCCCCAGGAGCTGGTTGGGGCACCAGGTACTTCCCTCCAGGGGCTGGGCCCCGAGAGGGAACGGGACGACAACCCTAACAGCCAGGTCACTGCCCTAGAGAAGCGCGCACACACACACACACAGACACACACACACGCGTGGGGCTATGTGGGCACAGGCGCCATCACGTAGATGCTATAAAGTGCCGACAGGGCGTCCTAATCCAGTCATTTTCCACGTGCATCAAAAGCTGTTCATAAAACCCCACCACGTCCTGCTCCCAGCTCGGCAGCTAACCCGGAAGTCCCCGACCTGGCTCGTTTGTTTAGACGGGTGTGATTGCTGCGAGGCCGGTCCACAGAGCCAGAACTGACCTTCAGCTCTCGGGAGGGGCCTGCCGCACCCACTTCTGATGATGTCCCCACCCCACAAACCCTCCCTCCCCATTCCAGCAGGCAGAAGCCAGGCCGCGGACAGCGACGTTTGTAAAAGTGAAACTGGACGGGCTTTCCAGCTCGAGGCCACGAGTCCGAGTGGGAGACCAGGGGCTAAGCTGGGCAGGGTGGCCCAGCAGGCGGCACATGCAGGGCCCCATCTCCCTCCTCTCCTCTGCACGGGCTCGGACCCCCCCCCAAGCCCACACTAGTGTCCCCCGGCCAGGCCACGAGCTGATGCCCCGTCCTGCACCACGCGTCCTGCTCTGAGCCACCTGTGTGCACGTCGACCTGGCCAGCCTTCAGAAGGGCCACCAGCATCAGGCTGAGCAGGATGCTGACCCCCCATTCCCACGGCGGGAACATAGACACAGGTGTGCTTGAGGAGAGGCCAGGCTCCGCCCCCCATTCCAGCAGGTGTGCCCATCAGGGGTCAGCAGCAAGGCCAGTGGGGACAGAACAGAGGCCAGCCGGCAGCGGCTCCGAGCGAGCCAAGACAAGGCTGTTACCCGGGGCTCGAGGGAGCCGAGGGGAAGACCAGAGTCCCCAGAGAGGCAGTGGGAGACCCCCCCACCAGGAGAGAAACCAGCTGGGGGATCACACCACCCTCCAAAGTTTAAAGAGGTGGAGCCCGCGCTACAGAGGGCTCTGACAGCGACTTTCGGCTGCGGCAGGAAGCGCGGGTGTGGAGCTGTCTGGAGGACACCCAGCGGAGGAGGGTTCTGGCGCTGCATGGGGAATGTGGCCAAAGGTCATCCCCCCTAATCGCACCCACACTCACCGCACAGGCCTGGCTAGCAGCTAAGCACCCCCACCTCGCCTCCACCATGCCGCCCTCTACAAGTGGTCCTAACAGGGTCGGCCTTGGCCACCGAGCGCTGCCCCAGCCCCACATGGCTCCAGGGCTGCTGCTGGGGCCTCGGCCTGGTTCTCTTCAACAGCGAGGACTCTCAGGGCTGTGTGACATAACACCTGAGCCCCGAGCTCGGAGAGGGTGCAGGACGCGGAAACACTTCAGAGACTAAAAGGGCACTTGAAAGTATGCGGAGTTGGCACTCAGGTTTCTGGGATTGTAACTGACTTCCTTGAAAGTCCAACTTCTACAGTAAATGGGGGACAAGTTGAATGAGTGAGTGGGTGAGAGAGAGTGGGTGGGTGGGTGGGTGGATGAATGGGTGGGGGGGGGGCACCGAGCCCCACGAGAAGCCCCCGCCCCGGGTCCTGGTCTGGCAGCAGGGATGGGCCCCACAGGCTGGCCCCTGGCATGAAGCCTCCCCAAGGCTTATCAGCCAACACCCTCCTCCCCGGGGGCCAGGACGCCAGGCGGTTTCTCTGTGAGCCCCTCCATGTGATGACAGGGAGTCCTCGCGGCCACCTGCTCATCAGGTGCATAATTACTGCGCAGGATGGCAAAGCAGCAATTAGCCGCGAAAGCCCTTGGTGGAAACTCCAGTCTGGGGAAAGGCCGCGCCCGCTTTCACTCCCTCCCACACCGTGACGGGAGCACCACAGCCAGGGAAACCTCCACAGCCTGGCAGCCCAACAGGAAGGGCCGGTCAGGTGTCCCAGGGGCCCATCGCGGACGCCAGGAGTGCACCTCCAGCCGCGCCCCCAGAACACTCTCGTTCTGGGCACCTCGGACCCGGCAAGACCCCAGGTGGCCTCCAGCCCTGACGTCCCGTCCCCCGCATCCAGCATCCGGGCCTCTTCTGGGCTCACACAAGAGCACGCAGGGCCACTGCCCGGCTTGGCGTCCATGTGGAGGCTCCTATGTCACGTGACACATCTGGAGCTAAATGTACGTTTTTCTGTAAAAATCTGCTGCCCATGTGTCATCCCCCCCGGGTGACAGAGTCCTGAGGACGAGCCCTGAGCTCCCCAAGACAGCCGTGTGAGCCGAGCCAGGGCCCAGCACCGTGGGGGCCGCCCTGCAGGGAGTCTGGGGTGCCGCCTCTGCCCTTACCCGGTGCTGCCGCATCCAGCCCAGGCACTCGCCCGTGAGCCGCTTGGTGAGCTCGTCCCAGCCCGAGCCGCTCTGGCAGGTGTAGCCGCCGCCGCCCTTAGAGCTGGCCCGCCGCACACGGGGCGCACTGATGGCCTTGTAGAGGGCGCGCATCTGCTCCTGCAGCTGCAGCAGCCTACGGAGGGGACACGGAGTCGCGGGTCGGCAGGGGCTGCTCTGTGCAGTCTCCCCTCACCAAGTCTCCTTTCTCTGGTGTACAGCACAGGTGTGTGCAGCACAGGTGAGTGTGTGCAGTGCAGGTGTGTGCAGTGCAGGCGTTTGCATGCAGGTGTGAGTGTGCAGGTGTGAGCGTGCAAGTGTGTGCATGCAGGCTGCTAGGCCAGAGCCAGGAGGGCGTCCTCAGGGCCTCTGGCCCCGCAGGTGGCCACGGGCACTTCACTCTTGCAACCTCTCCAAGAGGTGCAGAAGCCTGGTGCCTCCAGCACACCCCGCTCTGCCTTGCCTGCCTGCGCCTGCCTCCTCGAGCCTTCCACCTGGGCACCTGCTGGGCCAGGTCCCCAGCACCCAGAGCCCCCACGTCAAATGAGACTATGCTCCCCATGGCCCTGCCGGCTCTGGGCCAGGCCAAGCACACCCACTGGGGAAGGGGACACTGTGCCGGGTCTGGGCCCCAATGGGGTGGGGTCAGCATCTCCCAGCAGCCCTGCCCCCTGCCAGGGAGCACCTGCCCTTGGGCAGCTCAGCGAACCCAGATAGTGACGGCCGAGGCTTGGGTGTTATCTAGAGGCTCAGCACTGCCAAGGACAGGCAAAGGGGACTGGCCCGGGAGCTCCCAGCTTCCTGCCCAGGCCGAGCGGGCCCTGCGGGGGGCCAGGGGGCGCCCCAGGGCCCTACCTCTTCTGGTAGGCGTCACATGGCTGGCCCATCTGCCGCATCTCCCTGATGAGGCCGTCGGTGATCTCCATCTGCTCATTGGCCTGGGCGAAGCAGTCGTCCAGCTCGCGGCTGCGGGACAGCTGGATCCCATCACCATACTTCAGCTCCTGGGGGGACAGTGCACGGGAGGGGCCGGTGCTGGCCGTGAGGCTGCTGCTGTGAACGCATTGTACCCCCCACCCCCACCCCAGCACCATGAAAGCACAACACATCTCCAGCTCGGACCATTCACTGCCAGCAGGGAGCTGGGGGGATGCGAGACCAGCACCACAGGTTGTGCGCTGGGCCCCCAAGGCCCTGGCTTGAGAGCTGACACCCCCTCCCCATATCTCCACGGAGCCCGCGGCGGGGACACTGCCTGTGACCCTGGGGGACAGCGAGGTCTGTGCCAGGAAACAGAGCTGTCTCCGCTTCTCACGGGAGATGGCTTTGCCAACTCGGCAGAATAAGCTATCGAGTCCGTGGAACGAGCGAATCGATACCCCGGTTTTGAGGATGTTATTGTTCTGGAAAGTGTCACTTTTGGGGGGGCGCTGGGTGAGGGGGGCAAGAGAACGCCTGTATTTTTTACCACTTCTTGGGATTCTGGAATTATTTCTCAATAAAGAGAGACGCCCACATTGCAGGAGGGCCGCGTGGCCCAGGAGCCCCCGGAGGCTCAGGTGGGCCAGCCAGGACAGGGGTTGGTGTCAGGCTCTGGTTCCATCTGCTCCACTTTACGCAAAGACCCGGGGGCTATGAGGGGCACTGCAGGAGCAAGCACGACCCCCAACTGCCAGCCTGGGGCCCAAGCGAGTGTGCTGAGCCCCAAATCTTTACTCCAGTGATGTTATTTTTTTCACTGGAAAAACTAAGCCAGAAACGGAACCCACGCGGAGCTAAAATGAAGATGTGAGACCGTGCCGCTGGTCAAGTTCCCGCATCCTCAGAGGACGGCTTAGGGGTGCCAGCGGGCCCCAGGTTCAGTCCCTGTGAGGGGCTAGTAAAACCAGGAGAGGCGCCCAGGGGACTACGCCCCACCTGTCTGGGGTCGGGTTTGTCACCAAGGCGCTACGTGAGACAGCTACAAGGTCTTAAAGCCTTGCCCAGACCCTGCTACGGGCCCAGGGCTCCAAGCCCGAGGTGCAGGCGCCTTCAGAGGACCCCCACGTCTCCTCAGTGCTCAGCAGCCTGCTCCTCCGTGTTTCTGGGATGTTCCCCGTATAGAACTGTTCTCACAGTGTGATCTTTCCAGACAAAGGCGGGTGCGCCCCGACCTGCAGTCATGGGGGGCCCTGCTGCGTCAGCCAGCAGTGCTAGGACTAGTGGGGGACTTTCAGCATCACACGGGAGATGGGTGCTGCCGCCACACGGGGGGCGGCCAGAGCGTAACAGTTGGTGGGGGAAGTGGTGTCCGTGGTGAAGCCACCATCACACTCCATGAAGAATGTGCCCATCATGCCTGGCTGTGGCGTCCGAGCGTCTGAGCACCCGGCGGCCGAGGGCAGGAGCCAGGTGCCCCCGGGCACAGCCAGCACCATGGGTGGGGGGGAGGGTCACTCACTGGCTGCACAATCAGCTCCGCCCGCATCAGGCAGTCGGCGCAGTTCTGCAGCAGCTCCTGGATGGTGTTCTGGTTCTGGTGCCGGCACATGGTCCCCGTTTGACTGCGGAGGCAACAGAGACAGCGGCCTGAGACGTCTTTCTATTTGCAAACAATTTCAAGCTTCCAGGAAGGTTGCCACAGAGAGAAGCAGGCAGCGTTGGGGCCCTTGGCCCAGCCTCCCCCCAGCTGCCACGGCTCCCTGTTTCCAGCACCCCCCACCGAGTGTGCTACTGGGTCACTTGACATGGATCGTGCCCCTCTGCCAAACACCCCCTGGCATGTCTTCCCCGCCAATAAGGACATTCACGCACATAAAATCAGGACATTTGAAACAGCCAGGATGTGACTTTCCAGTTGACAGGACTTGGCAGATCTTACCAGCTCACCTGACAAGGGCCTTCACAGCAAGGACAAGACCAACCCAAACTGTCTCCTGAGTTGTGAAGACCCATTTTGACTTGCTTATCTGTGGCCCCCTCCCCCTTCCTCCCACAGGGGCCCTAACTCCCAGACCCCAGCACCCACAGGCCTGGGGGGCGGACGACCTCAGGCCCTCGGCAGGCTCCACAGGCAGCTCTGGCCAAGGAAAGGAGAGGGTGGCGAGAAAAAGCTTGTTCTGCCGGCACAGCTCTGCTCTCAGCCGGAGACTGCATGGGTGTGCCCCGCTTTCCAAAAGCTCGGGTTAGGCCACGAGGCTTTTACCAGCGCCTTCCTGTCTACTCCCTTCTCGCTTTGAAGGAAATTCAAAGAGGATTTTGCTTTTACCACAAAAGCCCAAAGGGACATAAGTGCCAGCGGGGGGTTCTGCACCCTCAGGTCTAGGGTCAGTGATGCTCCAAAGCAAGAGGCCCCGCCTGGAAATCCCTGGAACTGGTCTCCACAGCCATGCGTGGCTGCGATTTCAGGCTTCCTGTGCTATTTGGCGAGACTCGGGGGGTGACTGGGGGGTATGGGAACACAACTGCCCATATAATGCACAGTCACTGTCTTTGACTTTAGGAATTTCAGTTTATGAAACGTTTCCCAGGAACGCCCTGCTCTCGGAGAGCGGGAGAAACCCGCAGTGGTAAAAAAACCAACCAACCGCCACCTGAGAGTGTGAAGAAAGTGGTGGAAAATTTAAGTATCATTAACGCAGAAAGAGGCCACTTTTCCTTTCAAGATGACCCTAGGCTACGCATGTCTCCAAGGGGCTCCTCCAAATGCACCTTTCAGATGAAGCAGGCACAGACCGACGCGTCCAGGAGGAAGGTCTAGATGCTGCATGCTTTAAAGAAAGAGGTCACAGGAACTGAATTTGCTCCAGATGTGAAGGGAAAGAGCAAGGTGTAGTAACGCAGGCTGCCTTTGTAATCTGCAGGAGGCATGAGGGCCAGCGGCCCAGCAGACTCGAGCCGAGTTATGAGAGGCTTGAAGCACCAGAACTTACTGAGCTGCTGGAGCCTGAGGCCCTCAGGGCTTCGAAGCCACCCAGCCCTTCAGCCCCGGTGGCCTGCGGGCGAAGCTGTTTGCCGTACCAGATCTTGTCTGAGTCTGTCTGTGTGTAGGGGAAGTGGTGGTGGGGGGGGGATCTGTGCATTTTAAGGGAAGAATTTCACTGCTTAAAAAATGCATCAGAAAAAACACAGGCTGTGCTCCTGCTTGGACAGGGCAGACTTGCGGGCGTGAGCGGGCCCTCCCTGGCCCCTGGTTCAGCTCCACTTCGCGCTGGGAAGGCCTGACTCTCTCCCAGCCGCCTCCTGCCAGCCGGGCTCCCCAACAAGCTGGCACTAGCCGAAAGTATGTGGGTGAGGACCGAGTTCTCCTGGGAACCACTCCCGGATGATGCCATGGCCCCTCCGGGCAGGCCTGGGCGCCTGCACGCCCACCTGTCCTATCCAGGGCGCCGCACCCTCACCCATGAATGCAGCCAGTCTCTCCTATTCAACACCGGCCGGGAGGCCTGGCTGGCCTCTACCCCTGGAGATAAGACAGCCCCCACCGGCTGTCCAAACTTGTGCGAAATTCCAACTGACTTACAATCGGGATGCTTTCCGAAGTGCTCCTGTTGTTAAGGTCAGGAGAGCAGAGGGAAAGGGTTAGGGAAGACAGAAGCCCCTTAGAACTGAGGACAGACAGGCAGCCAGGGAGGCCCCGGTGATGCTGTTTGTTTCCTTTGGTGAAGGAGGATGACAGCACCTTTGTCCTGAAACGCTTAGTAATCCAGGTCAGCGTGTGGCTCCCAGGGCGATTCCCACACGGAGGAGGGAGAAGCTCTTAGCATGGTGGGAAGTCGGCGTTCCCGACCCACGTGACCACCTCTGAGACCCCCAAGATGGGCAGAGAGGCGGCGAGGTGGGGGAGTGAGCACCTCGGCAATCTGTGCAACTTGCCTGCAATTCTGTCATTCTCCCAAGAGGAAAATGTATTTTTTTTTTAAAGCAGCAGGGAGGTCCACCTCCGTGGCGGGTGAACTGCATGTGTCCAAGTGCACACTCTGGTCTCCTGAAAGTGAACTTGATGCTAGAGTCACTGGACAGCAGAGCACGGAATGCACCAGTATGGACGCCCAGCGTGGAGGGAGGCGCTGCGGCCAGGGAGAGAGGCCAGGAAGTGGATGTGGCTGGGGGGGGGGGCCCTGTCTTCCTTTCTACTCCCTTCTTTTGGGCAGCCTTTTTTTTTTTTCTTCAGATTTATTTATTCATGCATACAAGAGCTGGGGCGCAGGCCAGAGGTGGTGGGGGCGGTGAGAGGACTCACCAGAGACAGAGTGGGGAACAGAACAGGCAGACTGACTGACATACACTGCTGAGGGGAGCAGCGGGGAGACAGGAGAGGTCTGCCGCACCATGTGGGTAGCTCCCTGGCTGGGGATCAAACTCAGGCCACAGTGGCTGGAAATAGTTTGATAGTGCTGAGACTTAACCCCTGTGCCACCAGGGAGGCCCTTGGGTAGACTTTTTTACTGCTAGAGAACAGCTGGCATCTCCATCAAGATACAGCATCTTACCTGCTTCTCCGCACCTGCATCCGCCTGAACTTAAAAAAACAGGTGACCTCAGAGGCTGTTCCTACTGAAAATAACGCCCCGTGCCTCGCTGGAGGGTTTGGTGCGTTCGCCCCACTGCCGTGCCCACTCCCACCTGGCGCTTTGCTGGGCTCTAAGCAAACAGATTAACGAACGCAGAGGAAAGAGCAAGATACAGAAATCTCGCCTCTCACAGGGTCACAGGCTAGTGCTGGCACCGGGGAACTGAGAAGCCCCGGGAGGGCCACTGTCGGTCCCTCGTGGGGGCTGCATTTGGGACCTGAGCAGGGTCTGCCCGTCGGGTCCTCCTTCCACCCACTAGCCTCTCACTCTAGGCGGGGCCGCCCCGAGCCCCTGTGGACCAGACCCGGTGAGACGGGGCCAGGCGGACGCCCTCCCGGAGACCCAGTCCCTGGACGCGAGCTGGAGCCAGGGTGAGCAGGGACCAACCCAGCGAGCCTGCCGCGTGGCTCAGGAGAAAGGATTTTGACCCCAGGGTCGGACTGGATGATCGCGGGGCCTCCTTCCAGAAAAGTGCTTTGTAAAAACCTGTGTCACCCAGGGCTTTGAAAGTCAAGTCCTACTTTTGCCGGCACCAACGGTGTGACCTTTCCCAGACCTGGTTCTCCCTCGGGCTCCACGGGGTCAAAGGTTTCTCTGGCTGCTCTTTCCATTCTGCAAGCACCAAACTCATCTCTTTTATGGAAAAGAAAACCAGAGTCTCGGTCCCTCAGGTGGGGTCCATGCAGACCTGCCACCCGCGGATCAGTCTTCAGCACACACATGCTGACTTAACAAGAGGAGCTGGGAAGCCTGGCTCAAAGGTCTCAAAGGACGTTCTGGCAGGTGGGCCTCGGGGCGCTTACGCCCCAAAGGCCTGTTCTCCAATCCCACTTCAGTAGCATAAGGATAGGAGGTGGAGGGTGCCCTGAACTGGGGGGAAGGCAAAAACACAAAGCTCATTCCCCTCAATGAAGAGACCCCCAACCCCAAACTGACAGCTGTCCCGCAAAGAAACATTGGTCCTTAAAAGTCTTGTACTCTCCTGAAACTGTTTTATCTTCAAACTCGCAGAGACAGTGACTCATCCTACAAAGAACTGCCTGCACAGACATTTTTTTCAAGTCCATCCCCAGGCTTGTTTAAACAAGCAGAGGCTCCAACAGGTACTGAAGAGCCTGCATCAGAGGCGGGTGGAAAATGCGGCCTGGATTTTCCTCCAAGCACCAGCTCAGGGCCTTGGCCAGGAGGTGAAGTTCTCTATTGTCTGATTTTACTGCCTGCCCAGGTGGCTCCTCTCTTTCACAAGGAAACCCCTAAATCAGCTGTCTAAAGACCCAGAATGGCATGGGGTGGGGGGGAGGCGGGAGGAGGGCAAATATTTGAAGAGGCACGCAGCCTTACAGAGTCAGCCTGTTTTTAAAACTCTTTGTTTTATGAAAATAAATCCCACAATGTCTGCCCTGCTTGTGTGGCACATGGCCATGCCTAACACTGCTATTTCTTTTTTTCCCCTTTTTAAAAAAAAAGATTTATTTATTTATGCACACAAGAGCTGGGGTACAGGCCAGATTTGCAGGGTGGTGAGAGGACTCACCAGAGACAGAGTGGGGAGCAGAACAGGCAGACTGACCGAAATCCACTCCTGAGGGGAGCAGCGGGGAGACAGGAGAGGTCTGCTGCGCCATGTGGGTAGCTCCCTGGCCGGGCATCGAACTTGTGCTTCAGAGGCTTCGGATTGCTTCATAGGTTGTGTCTTAAACCCTTGTGCCACCAGGGAGGCCCACCACTGCTATTTCTAAAGGCTTGTTTTATTTATTTGTGCATACAAGAACTGGGGTTCGGGGTGGGGGGAAGTGAGAGGATTCCCCCGAGCCAGTGGGGATCAGAACAGGTGGATCCACTGAAATACTCTGCTCAGGGGTGCATAGTGCTGCTATTTCTTTTGTGGATGAGCTCTCTGCTTCATTCCTCTCCTCCTCCCCCCACATCTGGCGGACCTGGGAAGGGGGCCTTGGGGGTGTCTGCACCAGGTGCATGAGACAATGGCCTCA